CCCTTACGAACATATAGGCCTATAATACGACTAACGAAGACGGTATACTAACGGATATCGCGCTCGACTATTTCCTATATATAGTATATCTCTAGCTACAATTAGGCCGTACGCCGAGTATAGACCGCGATTAGGTTGCTACCTATAATAAGAAGGGCCTACTACTAAAAGATATTAAGTACGATTACGCTACGGAGGACGCAGATCCGGTAAAGTTATACCGTAGACTAGGGCGTATAGGTATTATAGGACGATACTAGTCGCTTACTAACGAGCAACGCGCCGACCTATACCTCTACCTACCGGACGAGCTCGCTATAGCTATTAAGTCTAAGACTCTCGTTAGCACCGTAGCTACTAACGAAGAAGCGCTAGCTATACCGCAACTATTAGAGAAGCGTAAGACTAAGTCGCGGTACGGCGCCGCCGACGCCGGTACTCTCGCCCTAGCCTCTAAGGGTAAGAGTAAGGCCTTCCCCCTACTAAAAGGCAAGGACAAAAACAAGCTACCGAAAATCTAGAAGCGCTAACCCTTCGATCGCGCCTTATCCCTACTAGCCTCGGTACCTACCTCGATACTTGTACCCGAAACGCTAAAGCAAGTCTAGCATGTCGGCGTGCGTAAAATACAAGATAAGAATAGCGGAACAAAGCGCAAGCGAGCTAGTACTAGTACCGGCGAGATATCTAACTAAAAGAGACGACGCTAATACGCAAACTTTATAACTAGCTCCGATACTAAGGCTACGCTAAAGTCCGCTACTAAGAAGACGCGCGCTAAACTAGTAGACTTAGACTAAGGAGAGGAGGATATACTCGAGACGATAAGAAAGTATAATACGAACGTATAATACAAATACGAGCGGTAAGGAAAACAAGCAAAAGCGGAAGGAGTATATAAGAAGGGGTTTAGCTAATATAGTACGCTAGCCTTCGTTCTATCGGACGGGGGTACTATTATAGTAGGGACGGTACGCTAGCTAAGCCTAGTACATACTTTCCGTAGAACCGTAGATACTTACCCTAATACTATACTATTGCCTAACTACTAATCGTCCCTCGCGTAATACCGAAAGTACTTCTAGCTAAAGATAGCCGAGGATATTACGGCCTATATCCGCACTTATAGAATTTGTTAATAGTCGAAGGCGAAGCGCTATCGCCTATATAGCGAGCTCGCTACGCTACCTATACTAACCCGACTATAGTAAGAATTAACGATAGACTTTATTACTAATCTCCTACCGAGCAAGCTCGGCGCCTACGTATATACTACGATCCTCGTAATAGTCGACCGCTATACGAAGATAAGCCTCTTTATCCTAACGACGAAGAAGTATATAGTAGTAGAACTCGCGGATATCCTTTAAAGGGAGGTAATTAGGCGTTTTAGAGTGCTATTAGGCATTGTTAGCGATCGTAGATCGCTATTTACTAGCTAGTTTTAAAGCGACTTCTACTTCGAAGCGTATATAAAGCGTAGGCTTAGTATAGCCTTCTATCCTTAGACCGACGAGCAAACCGAACGCGCGAATTAGACTCTCGAGTAATACCTTCGATACTATTACTCTAAGAATTAGGATAATTAGGCTAAAATGTTACCTTAGGCGGAGTTCGCCTATAATAATAGCGTTTATCCTACGTTACGTATAAGCCCCTTTAAGATGCTCTATAGTTTTAATCCTAATTTAATGCTAAGCGTAAATAAGCTACTAGCTCGGGACGAGCTAACTAAGGGAAGGGTACTAGTAGCTATCGACGCTACGGAGCGACTACGGAAAGTATATAAGACGCTTACGGAACGCTAGTAGAAAGTAGCAGAATACTAGGCTAAGCAATACAATATATACTATACTACTAAGATATATAGTATAGGCGACCTAGTCTTACTATCGATAAAGAATATTAGCTTAGATATCTTAAAGAAGAAACTTAGCCCGAAGTATATAGGGCCTTTCCGTATTATTAACGCAGTTAGAGCGTAGGCGTACCGCCTAGCACTACCGTTAAGTACGAAGATCTACAATGTTTTCTATATTTCCCTTTTCGAGCCTTAGTATAGGCGCGATAGCGAGGAGTATAAGGTAAGTATACCCGTCGCTAAAGGCGATAAGTAGTAGGTAGAAACAATCGTAGCAAAGAAGATAAAGAAGTAGAAGGCGTACTACCTTATTAAGTAGCGAGGTTAGCCTAAAGAATATAATACTTAGAAGCTAGCTATTTATATTAAAGATTCTATAGCGTTAGACGAGTTCGAAGCTTAAGCGAAGCGTAAGCGTAGGTAGTAATTAAAACAAAAGAAAATAAAACTTAAGAAAAATAGTAGATACGTACTCGTTTCGCTACTAAAAAAGGCCTATTAGCCTAGTATATATAAAGAAGGCGCCGTATAGGCGCGGCGACGGCGGGCCGCCTACTCTACTTATCCTTAGACTCTTCCTCTTTGTCCTCCTCTTCGATACCTATAGCGGTATCGATAGTAGCGATAGCGTTAGCACCGACGTACTAAGCGAGATTCTAGTATAGTTAGTATACGAAGCGCAAGTAAAACGAGGCTATAGGAAAAACTATACCTAACGACCGATCTCTACTAATCTAGCTAAGTTAGTGCCGATGTTCTTAAGGGCACCTAATAGATTAACGTCTGTAAGGGACCCGCCGGCGGCCCTCTTACGGGCTAGGGCTTTACCGCCTAGGGTTACCTTATTCTTATTAATATAGAAGGCGTCGAGCGTAGATAGGATAACTAATAACGAGGTTAGTATACGAAGCGTAAGCGGAGCGTATAAGAAACCTACGTACGACGACAGCGTCTAGATTAGCCTAGAGTGCCTCTAAGGCCTCGTTAGACTCCTCGACGGAGTCGTAGCTATCTAGGTCGTATAAGTCGCGCGCCGCGCGTATAGCGCAGATACGGACTAGTAGCGATACTAGCGCGCGTGCCGTAATAGGAGTATAGGTGTAATAGCTGCTATAGTAGCGATTATAGTTACGCTTAGTAGTAGGGTCTATATTGCCGCCTATATAGAGCTTAGATAGGTTATCTAAAGCGAGTTAGTTGCGAAGCGCGTATACGTAGCAAGAGGCGAGAAAACGTACTATTAGCCGTTATATACCTAAAGCAACGAGTATAGCCTTCTAGGACTTTTAGTAGGCGCTAGGTAGGCGTAGTAGGTATCGAGAGCGGTATACCTATAGCGCGCTTGCCTAAGGCACGCGAAGGAGTAGCTATACTAGTAATGTTTTTTTTAGATAGATAATTAAAGAAGAAAAACTTTTAAGTAATACTAGGGGGGCGTAAGATATAAGTAGATAGAGAGTAGGCAGAGGGTATTCGGAGCGCTTAGAAAAAGAAGAAGTTTTTAAGCAAGCTTCGAATACTTTAAATACTCGCCTCGCTTTCGGACAGCTTACGTTCTCGCGTAGCTACCGCGTTCTTAGAAATTTAGGCAACCTCTAGTTAGTACTAGAAGTAGCCGCGCTTTAAATCTATAAACAAACAAGCAACTACGAGGCAAATTATAACGCGCCTAGCAACTATAGCCTAGCGATAGGTACGTATAAGACGCGCAAGTATAGCGTAGAGTATAAGAAATAGTATAATTTACTATATTGCCCTATAGCTAAGACAGCTATACTAGGGGAAGGAGATAATTGTAAGAACCTAAGTAAGTAAAGTCTCCTATTATGCCTTAGCAAGCCTATATAACAATTATATAATATTATTACGTATACTGCGGTACTATCTCGCTAGCGCAAAGCCTACTTAGCGCATACGCGGAAAAGCTCGGTCGCTTATACGGATATACTCGGTTGCCGGCTCGGTATATATACTATCTATATATAGCCTAGTTAATAGTAAACGCTCTATCCTATTCTAAGAAAGGCATAGTTTAGTTCTACTTTCTACTACGGCGATTAGTAGAGGGTATTCTATACGTTACTATATACCTATTTTCTTATAGCCTATAACGCCCTTAAAATATAGCTAGAACTTGCTTCCGTCGGTACTCTTAGACTATAGCGGTTTATCGTCCTTTTATAGCAATTTAATCTATTCCTTCGCTATACGATATAAATAGCGCGATACAGTATAGATTATCCTTCGTAGTGTCTCTCTTACTATACTAAAGTCGTTAGTAAGGTTGCTAAGGCTCCTATTATATCCGACTATAATAAGGAAGAGGATAACTCGTAACTTAATAGAGTATTTGTTCCTATTCTTACTTTCTAAACTATTCTTCCGTAGCTCTTCTACTAACGCGCGCAATACCGGTTACTTTAACCTCGTACGCTCGTAATAGTACTTCGGCGGACTATATAGTACTCGAAATGCCTCGCTTTCTATCTTATTACGGTCTATTTAAACCGACTTTCGTCCTAGTAGTCGATATATCGTACGGCGGCGAAATTTAGGTAGTTCTTCGAGTAACAACGGCATCGTACTAGTAATAGCGCTTACCGATAATACGACCGCTAATAATCGCTCTATTGTACCTCGTTCTTTACCTCCGCTACCCTATATCTTGTCGACCGCTATATAGCTCCTTTTATAAGACGTAGAAAGAGGTAGATACTGCGGCGCTATACTAGAAGTCTATAGGGCGTACGGATAGGCTTAAAAGCTCCTTAAGAGTTAGTTATACTAATTATACTATATATAGTATAATCTTAGCGAGTTTACGAGTATAGCGATAACTAACGATTTAATAATCGTTGTTATATAAGACAGGTTAGTTATTAGAAGAGTTGTTATAATCTACGGCTAGGTTATGCTATAACCTGTTGCAAGTAGACAGGGCCTGAGAGACAGATGGAGTCGGACTTGGCTCCGATGAGTTCCGCTCCGCTCCGCTCCGCTGTCCCGCTGCGCTTGCCGTCATCAGCCGAGCTCCAATGCCTGGGTGCCACTGCCCCTCACAGCATGTGAAGGAACAACAAGTGAACTTGTCACAGCACTTTTTGCTCTCTGTACGGGTTCGACATCCCAGAACAACATCATGGCCGCCAGTTGCATCTTCTGCAAGATTATCAAGGGTAAGTGAGATCTCGATATACGTCAAAAGACCAGAATCAACTCCGCCTCTCAGCGATTGCTGTGGTCTTCAAATGGCAGACAGAAACTCATGCTATGCTTGGACCTCTCACTCGGGGCGAGTGTCCATATAGCTCAGCCTTGAGTAACGAGAGTTCGAATAGATAGCAATAAATGCTAGGTGAGCAGCCAAGACTGACTCTGGGCAGGCGATATTCCGTCCATGAAACTCTTCGAGAGCGAAAAGACTCTTGCATTCCTCGACATTGGTCCACTCTCGTAAGTTCCCATCATAACTTGTCTCGTGTGGCATAGCATAGTATATATGTGAAGCTTTCGGCTAACGAGTATCTGCTGCAGACAAGGTCATGCAGTGAGTACTGTCCCCACACACCTTGATGTCCAGTTCGTCCCCGAATCTCCCCTTCCGCGACATGTGCACATACGGCGCGCAGCACTTCCTATTGCAGACATTCGTAGCTCTGAAATCTCGGAAGCCACAACTCCAGACTGACACAAATCACTTTAGCTCGTAATTCCTAAGCACCACGGAGCCAAACTCCTCGACATCCCAGACGAAGACCTCTCAGAAGTCCTACCGGTTGCGAAGAAGATTGCCAAAGCTGTTGGCTCAGGTATGAAACTTCGCTCCCTTCTTTTGACCAATACCCTAACACGCCGGCTTGGGAGATAATTACAACATCCTGCAGAATAATGGCCGTCTAGCGCACCAAGAAGTCGATCACGTCCACTTTCACGTAATTCCGAAGCCTAACGAGCAAGAGGGGCTGCAAATTGGATGGCCGACGCAGAAAGGTGACATGGATAAGCTCAAGAAACTGCTAGAAGAGATCAAATCGAAGATGTAGGACGGTCTTTCGCAGGAGGGTCCCAAAGCAGGAATTGAGACCGGGTCGGATGCAGTTAAGGGAAATGCTGAGAGGAACCAGCGCGAGGAGGGTTTCCTGGTCCCGGCAACGCAGGAAGAGCCAGCATACCATATCTGAGTCTGAGTCAGATGCATAGGCACATAGCTGAGAAACGGAGCGATGAAACGTCTTCAAATCTCACTCCCTCCACAGCACAACCGGAGCCATGCGTTCTCATGGCAGGCTCGATGCAAACCAATGCCTCAGTTCGGAAGCGATGCAAATCCAAGGTACGTGTGATGCAAATCCGTTCGGTTATTGGGCATTCTCTGACGTTTGGAAGATTGCACTATCACTCCCCTTGCCCTATTGTGTTATACTACCAGCCCTTCTTGCTAACGCTTATCTTCACGCGTCTATCCTTGCCCTTCAATCAAAACACAGCATTGACTGGAACATCGCATGACCTGGAAGTCATGCAAAACCGGTCTCGAAATAATTCCAAAACACCATCAAAAGAGGCAAGCGCCGTTGTCCTCACGATGGAAAGAAGCGTAACCTTTGTGCTGCTCGCTTTTGGTGGTGATGGCTAAGGCATATCTCTCTCTCTCCTGGTTGGCGGAGTTGAGGAGAGCCAGGCTTAAGATCATGTCGCGTAGCTCTTGAGGGAGGGACTAGGAGCCATTGCTCGATTGCTTCTGCTGTTGAGTTCGGCTGCGAGGTTTAGGGATGTGCGAGGGAAAGTAGAACAGTTCTGGGTAAGCCATTTTGATCTTGTATGCTTCTGTGTTGGCTAATGATTATGGATGCGCGCGGCAGACCTTTGTGGCTGAAGTCCTCGCGTGTGCGATGGTGATACTCGCCGTGGTGGTACTGTTGTTAAGTGCGAGGGAAAATGAAGCACAGTGAATGGAATGACTTCTCTTATAGGATCGCAGGCAGCAGCATGCGTCCACTCGATACTACTCTTGCATGTAATGCTGTTCATTCTTTCCATCAAGTCTAAAGTACAAGCGAGCATCTTCACATGCGGCTTGGCAACGGCGCAAATTCGGCGCAAGAGCTTAATTTGTTCACGAAATTTCCTCAAACTCCTGACTCTCGAATCCTCACCACAGGCACCTGAAGTGGACGGGGACACAATGTCGACCTCACCACCGATGGCCGCAGCCTCGCCGCCACGAATCGATGCTCGCCTTCCAAACAAGACCGGCTTCCTACACCTCGCTCAAGAACTTCAAGACCAAATCCTTGAATACGCCCTCGTCGAACGTAGAGCGATCCAGATCTGTCTCGGAGGCTGGAACGACGGATGCATGAACTGCACTACCATCATGAGCCTGACCAAAGTGTCCTCTAAAGTCCGTCAGGATGCGCTCGACATCTTCGTCGACAAGAACATGTTCGAACTCAAGTTCTGCGGCACCAGATACGATGATGACTACTACTAACCACCACCACCACCACCACCAAATGGACCATGCTGCTGCCGAACAGTCCTGCTCCACATTAAGCGCTTGTTGGTAGTCCCATTTTATGAGACCCCCGTCTTGGCAAGCGTGATGGGAAATGGTTCGTGCACCCCGGGCGCTCAGGGCCCAGAGTTGATTGTCATGGACAAAACCTGCTCAAAGGTCTGCACTCCAGAGAAGTCATCGCACCCGCACCAGGCATCTCACGCAGCGAGTTCGAGTTCATCAAAGCGATGCTGTGGGATTTGGAAGAGGAGGGTAGGGCGGCAGATGAAGCGAGCGGGCGGGATTGGGCATCACGTCTATGGGATCGGTAATGGGAATACGGATGTGGAGTTACTAAGGGAAGACGTGATGGGAAATGTGGAAGGAAGGCGTCAGTAGCAACTGCTCTTGTTTGTGAGGACCATGTTGCTGCGCTGCTTTGCAACCATAGATGTTGAATACTGAATATTCAGTATTCAGACCCTATATTCAGTGAATATGAATATAGCTCCCAGCGTATCTAGGTGAATATTCAATATTCAGTCTAGTTCTTAGCGACGGCGAGGACGAAGGGAAACGAGCTACGAAATCGATTACGATATACCTACTTGTTAATAGTATCTTGTTTCTTAGAAGCGTCTTTAGTATTTTGGTATAAAGGACGCCTCGGACTAGATATTCACTAACCCCTTAGCAATAACCTAAGGCATCTTCCCGGAAGCAAGGCAGGTTTGCTACTGCTTTAGCTATAGAATACCCTATCCGGAGCTTATCCGACTGAATATAAATAAACCTACTATGCAGTCTATCTATATTCAGATTCATATTCAACTGAATATGAATATATATTCAAACTGAGTAATCATTATTCAACATCTATGTTTGCAACGGGCGAGCAGCAATACCAATCAGTACGCGACCCATGCTCTTTGATGGTAGAAAGAATTGCAACATAGCCTTCTAACGAGCAACGAGTCGTCTCCAGAAGCAAGCAATGCCTCAAGATGGAGCTGACATTGCCAGATGATTGCTTGAGTACACAAAATCAGAATGTAATCTTAATTACCTCAAGTTCTCTTCCTCAATCGCGCTCGGCATTCCAAAGAGCGAACAGCCAAGTCTGTAAGAAATTTCCTCAAAGCTGCAGCGTCTTCTCCATCACCAAATCCCTCGCTTCTGTACACTCGAGGAGAATCTCCCTCTTCAATCGAAGGATAGCGTCTGTGGTTCACAATGCAGTGTGATTACTCGAAGGACTTCAGTCCCGAAAACCAGTGGCATCAGTGACCGGAATCTCGCAGAGCGACTTGAGCTACATCAAGGAAACTCTGTGGTTGGTGTATGCAAGAGCAGAGTTGTACAGGAGATCCGGCGGACGCTTTAGCAGCAGGGTGGCCGAATGTTTACGAATGGTAATCGAGCTATGACCGTGAGAAAGTTCTGGAGAAGGGGATCGGGAGGAAATCACTACAAGTTGCTCATTTGCATGACATGCTTGTCTTAATGCTTCGCTTTGCGATCCGGTTTCACCCAACGCCACGTCGACCAGACCGCTCTTCTATGGCTGTTGCAGCTCCACATGGTACATACGACAGCCACCTTGTGCTCTGCTCAAGCAACCTGTATATAGCCAAGGGCTCGTAGACGCTGGACCTCCACCTGTAGTTTACCTCCTGTACTGAGCAGTTCGATGTTGTCCTGGAACAGCTTGATCGCGTCTGCGATGCTGTCGCGACCATTTTCCAACATGAATAACAGCTTCGTCAAATTCTCATCAGCTGCATCGCACATGTCCGCAATGATCCCATCGACGTCTTTGGTCGGAGCCCCACTTGCGTACAGAGAGCTCCAGTCAGTATCTTCCCAAGTTCCGCTCCAGCTGCCGTCGCTCTGCTGTTCGATGTACACTCGCGGGAAGGCAGCGAACGCAATCTCGAAGTAGACCAGGCGCTTGAGCAGATCCGTGATCTTCTTGTGTGAAGTCCATCCCAGCCGATCACCACCCTTGTACGAGCGGAGACTGCCAACTTCAAATCGATTGTACTTGAAGAACATGTCGAATGCTTCCTGGCGTAACTGCTTGCAAACTTGACCCAACTTGGAGACATTGTGGGACATGAGGCTGGGGAGGATACCACGTGGAGTTGCGCGCTCAATGGTTTGGACACCGTCGTCGCTTTGATGAACAACAGCCAGCTCATAGATCTCATCGCGCAGTTCTCTTGGTAGGTCGAGAAAGCCGGTGGGAGATGTCTCGCCCTCTCCATCGGCGTCATTTGCTTTGGTGTCGTTGATGTTGTCTTGAGTGGCGCTTGTCGCACGGGTCGATACTGCCAAGTATGCCATGGCGAATGTATCGTTCTTGTTGTATGGAAGTGGCTCGGTGAGGCGAAGAATCTGGTCGTGCGCTTTTGGAAGATGTAATTTGGCGATTTGCGCGGACAGCGCGATATCGCCGGTCATGGCTCCCTCGGAGTCGCTCGCCATGTTGTGCAGATTGTACTGGTGGTGGATGTCGCTGAAGGTGCTCAGCCGTGCAAATAAATATGGAGTGACGAAAGTGAGCTTGAGAAAGCCACGTGCGGCTTGGCAACGGCTCCCTCACAGCTCTTGCATCACCTCACATGCCAGAAAGGTCGACACATGCTTCGAGAGTCAGCACCGGCGAGAAAGATCCGCACATGCCGAGAAGGCGCGTAAGGTCCGAGAACCAGGGAGCGGGAGCGGTCTTCATTATACAGGTGATAGTTAGCGATATATGTCGATCAGGACAATCAGACCATTACTCAAGTGTGATCCCTCTTCATCCATATTTTCGAAGAAGAAGTCCGTCCGTCCTCATTGGAGACGATATACACCAGAACGTAGCAGAAGAGCACTGCTCACAAGCCGAAGAATCCGCCACAAGTCGCAAGTAGACCCAGAGCAGCGACTATCCACCCTTCAATGCTCAACTGCTGTTGCACAAGACCAGCAGCTCCAGCACTGGAAGTCGCGCTCGATCCAGACTGGGTGGCGCTACTCGTGACTGTCTTTGTCCCGGTAGCAGTAGTCAGTGTAGTCTCGCTAGTGATCGTAATCGAAGAGGTGGCCTGCGAAGTAGGGGTGCCTGTCAGCGTAGTGGATGTAGCGGTCGTTTGCGTCAAGCCCTCCGTGCCACCAGGACCAGTGTACGAGCTCGGAGTCGGCGAGCTCAAGCTGATGGCAGTGCTTGAATATGCATTCGTCGGGCTATCGGGTGGCACTGAGGACGTTTGCGGCTCTTCGACCTGAATGGGTCGATCCTTGGGTGTTGAAGCTCCTTCGGTGTCCTGTCTTCTTCGAAGGTCTTGATGTGCTTCGGGGAGTGACGTAGATAGGCTTACGCTGGTCCAATGGGCCGTGGTTGAACTGTCGACCAAGCCATCGAAAACTAAGCTGAAGACTTGTCCATCGAAAAGAGTGATGCCATCTGAGCGGAAGGCGTTGGTCGTGCCGTCAACAACTGCTAGGCCTGTCGTGGGAGGCACAGCAGTTGCTGTGACAGTCATACCAGTGAGAGGAAGAATAGCAATCGTCAGCCCGCCGTTCGAGAGACTTAAGGAAGATGAAGTCGTTGGGCTTAGAGTCGAAGTCATGGCGAGTTATTATAGTAGGTGAGCTGGAGTTCTAAGAAGTTCGTGGAGAGCCGAAGTAGAATCCAAAGCAGGTTCGAATGTTCGTGTTGCGTTGTAGGACAGCTTCCTGAACAAGGTAGTCGTGAAGTGAAGTATAAGCAGCTGACGACGCTTCCTGTAGCTTCGTAGAGCTTGTATCGAAATGTGATGCAGGTATCAAGCCTGCTTCGTGGTCAAGCGCAGTGCTGCTTTTGACGATAGTGTGTCCAGACAACGGAAGTTGTGATTTGCGAGGGCGAGGCCGGCCTCTGATGAGTTAGTTGTTCTGCAGAAATGAGGTTGGCTGAAGTGAAGGCCTTAAATCAAGGAAGTAATGCCACCCGGAGATTGCCGTGCACAGCTCCCTGCTTCAGCTTTCTGATGATGAGAGACTTTCCATTGCGTTTCACAAGGTATCCCTGCACGCGAGCAACCACATCACCAAGGTCAAGATCCATCGAAGCTTCAGTAAATGGCTGCGACGAGCTGCTATTCATACAACAACCAATATCCAAAAGAATCCCATCTCTCATCAGTACAATATGCATTCTGCCGTAGCCGCAGACGGGGATATCATTTACCATCGCAAGTAACGCCTGTCCAGCTCTCGTTGCTGGCCTCATGCTCATCGCTCATCCCAAGCTCCATATGTGAATCGCGTAACTCGGCAGGAGCAAAGTCGCATCTACAGTCTTCCATGCCGCGCCTTGAAAATGGCTACCTTATCATCGTAGAATAAAATTTCGCGCAATCGCAATCGAGCCGTGTTCCTGCTCTCCGCCGAGGACATTTCAGAATTCGTGTCGTCGTCCACGTCATCTTCGTCACTCTCCGTCTCGTCATCAGCATCCTCGTCAGACATTCCCATGTCCGCTTCGCCATCGTGATCTTCATCCTCATCCTCGTCATCGTCGCTTCCAACAATGTCGGGATCGATGACAACACTGGGGTGGATGCCCAGTGCAGACTCTGTGCTGCGTCCCTCAGTGTCGCGCTTGTTCTCGAGAATCTCAAAGCACTTGTTGGCGATTCCCATATAGCAGAGCTCAACTTCGGGCCGAAGAGCAACGATGTCGACCATCTGGAGCGCGAGTTCCCGCGGGTCCAAGGTTGCACCATGCACGTGATCAGCCAGGAACGGCAAGTAGAGTGATCTGAGATGTGGTATCGAGGGCAGGTGTTGAAGAAAGAAGTGCTGTGCCAAGAATCAGTGAACAAGCCAGAGTATACGGCCATGCACATTGCTTACCCAATCTCGATAATCGATAGCCATGCCCAGCTCTCGCAAAGCGGGCATTTTGCCACTGCAGATGAATGAAAGTATGTCGCGAGTCAACATCCACTTCCGCCATCTGCTCGTGCCATTTGGCATTCCATCCGGTCCTTTCTCAGAGCTGTCAATCAAGACCTTCTTGAGGCTGTTGCGGTGTCTGCGAAGTGGTCCTCGGAAGATCGTTTCGATGGCAACCGACGATGAGTGGGTCCTTGCCTCCTGCAAAAAGAGGACTTCCAACTGGTTGGGTGCCAAAGTCTCCTTGAGGAAAGAGATCAGAGCTGGCGACACAGTGTTGGTATGTACCTTCCTAAGTCTGAGTCGATATTCCAGTTCGGCATCGCTTGGAATGCTCGACTTGCTTCCCTTCTTAGGAGAGGCTGTCGTTGTCCGTCTCGGATGAGGGTAGGTAGGAGATTTCGGCGTGGGCGCAAAATGCCGGCGCAGCGTTTTCCAGAGTTGTTCATGATTCGGGCAATTCAGCAGCGTGAGTGCCGTCAGCCGTGTCCAGTCGATGCCTTTCTGCAGCACTGGAACGGAGATTGGGACCCGCTCGAGCTCGAGACTCTCAAGCTGCAATACATTCTCCAGACGTGGGGTACCATCAGGTTGCTGAAAGTCTGCAGCGACAACTTCTTCAGCAGTGTTTGCCATTTCCGCGGTGGGAGCATCGGGAAGTGCCCCGCTCACCAGAGGAATGTCATCGTTGATGGTCTCTGGAAGAAGAGTGTCAGTGATCAGGTTCTCAACGGCTATCGGCGAGGCTGCATCCGGGTATGACAGCGGAGATTCTGGCTCGTTGCCGGGCAATTCGGATATCACGTCTCGCAAGCTTGTGATGTCCGTGACATCGATCGTCGCGTCATTTGTCGAAATCACAGTAGCATCAACAGCTGGCAGTTCTGCAGGCTGGCTGGTCCGACTTGTTGCGCGTCTGCGTCTTGATCGATCCGGAAGCACGATTCTCGGCTTCCGCATATCCGTCACAAAGCCTGTTAGGATGCCCAAAACGCCACCGAGACGCTTCTCGCCGATTGTGAGCGAGCCCGCTGTTGGATAGTCTGGATCTACCTGCTGCAATGAATCGCCTTCCCAGACAGTCACCCAGTCTTTGGTCAAAGCATGTCTTGCGATTCCGACCCGAAGCTCTTTCAGCTTGTGCAAAGACTTGCCCACAAGCACAGCCATCTCATCCAAATACGCCAACTCGTCGATATCTAGCACGCTCAAGCTCTTCAGCGCAGGTAGAACCGAGAATGAAGGATGCTCCACGCGGTCAAGAGCGGCAGGGTGGATTTGTGGAGGTGCCGCGATTGAGCTCGGAGTTTGCAAGGGCGGCGCAGGCACTGCGAGCATGTTGATCGGCGGAGGCGGAGGAGGCATCGGGTTCGCGTCGTCTGCTGATGAGTTGTTATGCCATCGGACCCAGACTTTCTCCAACCTGCAGGAGTTGCCATCGTCTCGGTCGCCTAGGGAGGAGAGCGCGATCCACACGTCTCTCAATATACCTGTTGGCATATCCCAGATGAACGTCTCGAGCGATCGCATGCGCGCCACCGCCAGAGCGACCAAAGTCCCTAGCATTTTCCCTCCCTCTTTGCTGATTAAATACTCTTGCACCCAGTCGGCGGGTCCATTTCCCAAGGAAAATTTCCGCGTGAACTGCGCATAGTGATTACCTCGTCTTCTCCGCACTTGCGTATCAGTGGCTCTCCCAATGCCCGTAGATGTGACACGATTGTTCTCCACGTGCTGGCGCTGACTGGGAGATTCGCCGAAGATCTCTTCTGCCATGACCAGCGTGGCCAGGCCATAGGTGAGCGCATCGACGCCAGATCGCGGTTCCGCATGTGTACTGCTGTCTGGCCACACAATATCGAAACGAGAATAGATATGGGGAGTCGTCAGGCGGTGAAGAGCGCTATGACAGAGCGCGAGCGAGGTGAGATCGTTCGTATGCGTGACTTCCTTGATTATATCCTTAAGTATGTCCACAGGGAGATCCAACAGCCGCAGAGGCTTCTTCTTCTCCTTCTCAATCGCTACAGCCTCCTTGCCTTTGCCTTTGAACATGCGACTGGATCGCAACCGGTGACTTGCCAGATCCGATTCATGGCAATCTTCATGAAAACGTGTACCGATGCTCTTCACGTCCTTCATACCGAGTTCTGGGGAGGCACTGCCTGCGCCGAGCGGAGATGTGGTCGCACTTGCTTTGGGTATTTGCGAGGCGGAATTGGGGAAATGGCCATGGCGCGAGTCGTCTTCATACCCGGGTGTCGACACTTCGGATGTGCTGGACGGACCTGCTACCGCCGCCGCGGCGGAAGCTGCTATTGCCTCCATGCGATTGCGGCAGACAAGTCCGTATGTGCGAAGCTGACTCGGCTGCCAGCCTCTGAAGAGGTCTCGGTCCTGCTATTGCTGTTCGCTGTTCGCTGTTCGATTTTCGCTGTCCGTCCTGGCCCTGGCCCTGGCCTGCCCTGCGCTGCATGAAAGAAAATCAATGGTGGCTCCTTGAAATGTGGGAGTTACTGCTAGGGGGGAGTGTATCGGTCACTTCGAGCGGCGGGGAGTTGAAGGTGCAATGCCGGGTGCGCGGTGGCCAGCAAGCAAGCAAGCTGCAAGAGGCGGGAGATTGAAGTCGTTGTGGAGCCAGTTGCGTTGCTGCAGTGGCAGCCGAAACCTTATTTCCCTAAGCGGTAACGCCAGCGACCTTTCGACTTCTCACTCGCAGACATCAACTGTCCACCACTCGCTCACTTTCTAGCGGACGCTCTAGCCTACATGCATTCACTATTTTTTTTTGATGAGGCGCGGCATCATAGGTATAGCACAAATTTTCGAAATAGCATATTCACTGCTACACATACCGCCCTCACCAGCAAAGCAACCAAAATGCCCGAGCTTCCACGAGACCAAGACCCTTAGGCTGTTCGAAGTCCGTTCGAAGCAGTCTGACCGATCACCATGGCGCCTGGAGTCCCGGGCTCCACGTGGTGTAGGTGACCGAAGATATCCGGATCGCAAGGATAAAAGCTGATATGCCGGGATTTTTTCGCGATAAAGAAGACCATCTCCGGCTTCCACGTCTTCACATGCAAAACCAGCTTGGCACTAAAGTGGATGAGGCTGGTAATAAGAACATTGGAGAACACTACCGAGCATCTCCTTGCCGGGAGAATTGACGGGCCATGGCGACTAGGATCAGATCGTCAAAAGTATCATATAACAGCTACCTATAGGACGCAGCTCCGCCTATTTCTAGACAAGCCAGGCCCTCTCGTGTGGACCACACACCCTCTTTCAGGAACCGGACATGAGCATGTTTGTGACTGCGGGACGCTCAGTCATTATGCGCTCCTCTGCATCTGTGAGCACAGCAGCCGCAAGGCTCGTGAACTCTTGAAAGGCTATAGAGAATAATGGCATCGGACGCTTGAAAGAGGGCCGACGTCACATATTGCTCTCTCCCACATCATTATGATTCCTATGCTTCCCATGTACAACTCTTCCAGTTCGCGCAGCATACCTAATACTGAGAAATTGGCAGACCATGACAGCAGCGAACCCTCGACACCTGCACATAGAACGTAGCTCTGTCCACCCCCAGACAAAGAGTCTGCCTCTCGGCGCTCGCGTGCGAACGAAAGGACAAAATCTTTCACAACACGACCGCGAGGATCTAATACCATAATTCACAACCAATCCAGGTACTATGTATGATGATAGTGCACTGAATGGAGGAGTCTTGAACAACACGACAGCGAGGATTAGAGACCATCCATCATTCACAATCAATTCAGGTATGACAATGCATTCTTTTCCATCCTCACTTTTACCTATCTCACCACACACTACAATGCCTACTCCCAACCAACATCATAATCATCATAATCACATTCCCAAGCATACACATACACCCCATTCCATCACAATACCTTGCAAACTCCCTCCCTCCCTCAACCCCCCTCTCCCTTTCTTTCTCTCTCCCTCACCTCCTCCCGCCCCCACCCGACCCATCCACAATCCCCACTGTTACCTCCCCTTGCCCCCTCCCCTCCTCACAAAACAACTCCAAAATTTTCCTGCCAACCCCACTCTCCAACTCCGTCCCATCCCTCGCAACCTTAACATCCTTGCCCGAATTCCAAGAATTCTTCAACCCTTTAGTCTTCTGAAACGGAACGCGTCGTACCGAGAGCCAAGAGATGTTGAAAGGGAGGGAAGAGTTTTCAGCGGAATTGTCATCATCGTAAAACTCGGAAGGGGAGGAAGAGGAAGAGGTGTTCCGTCTCTCGGCTTCCCAAAATAACGTCCCCCGCGCCTGATCGTCGACGATTTGACCTTGAGGAGCAGTAGCCGTAGGCGGAGTTTTAAGGATACGGAGACCTTGAATATCGGGACTTTTCTCGCTGCTAACTTGCGAAGTTTTGGCGTTGTCAAACGGCGACCCGGTCATACGCGCATAACCGAAATACTCTCCAGATTTGTTGACCGAAAAAATGAGATAAACAGTCTTACCGCAACGTTGAGCATCGCGGTAAGCGGAGTCGAGAAGAGTTTGGTTGTGGGGTTGAGTTTCCCAGGTGCCTTTTTGGAGGGATTCGTTTAGGTCTTCCTTGGTGAGGGATTTGAGGACGAAGTAGCGGTCTTGAAGGTGGCGGGGAGGGTCAGAGGAGGTTTGGTCTTGAGCGGGAGTTTTTTCGGAATCGCGGTCGGAGGAGATGGTTAGATTGGCGATCTGGTCGCTCAGGCCATCTACAGTTCGTGAATCATTGGATTCGAGGACTGAGTCACTGCGATCTGAGCTGGGAGGAGGCACTGGTGATGTGGATTCGTCGCGACTTCGATTTTGGGTGTCTCGTCTCAGACGACAGAGTAACCTTACGTTCCCGAACAGAGAGTGGTTGAAGCGTTCTACGGCGGCCTCGCATGCTTCTTTCGTGCGATAGTTGACGAAGGCGCAGTTTGACTTGGACATGAGAAAGACACTGTCGATGTCGTTGGTCGCATCGCGAGAGAAGTGATCTTTCAAGGACTCGATTGATGCTCCCAGAGGGATATTTCCAACCCATACAGCGTGGCCCGAACGCCTGGGTTTGCGCGGTGGTCCTCTTCGCGACAAAAGAGGTGACGGAGGAAATGGAACTAGAGATGCTGAGTGCGGTGACGGACCTGATTGGGTCTATGTGAGCGTTAGCTAATTTTTCGATGGAAAATGTATTGCATTTCAGTAGCTTGGTGTTCTCTGGCGACGCAACGAACTGACGTCAACGATGGCATGTCGGTCTCCATGTCCAATCGTATGCTGCTCGACGGCTCATAGTCTACTCCATCTTCAACACAAAATTCTGAGCTACTTACCATTGGGCTGAGTGGTACTACTGGATGCCTGTAATCAAAGTGAGTACCATTCATCACAGGTCCGGGTGGAAAGTGTGTATGGACGGCATAATGATATGCCATGTTCGGTGGCTGCTTGGGATGGTGCAGAATCTGTGGTCCGCCAGCGTAACCGCTATGAAAGGGCTGAAAGCCTGATGGATGGAATACATGGCTGTTCTGGTAGGCGTCTCGCTCTGGCAATTGTTTTGAACTCTCCATACCAAGTCCTCGAAGGTAGATATTCTGGTGTACCATTCCTGTCGGTGTGAATTGTGAAGTGTAAGGGAACGAAGGAGAATACAGCTGGTGGTGGTGGTTCACACCATTGCTGCGAACGTGGTTCGTCGTGTGTTGGGGCTCAGGGTATCCCAATTGTTGTCCCGGGATCATTCCAGGTTGCTGCCAATGACCGCTTGGCATATAGACAGGCTCTGAAATCATGGCCGGTGGGGTGTCTGGTGCAGTGAGGCACAGTCAGCCAATTCTGGCTAGGTTGCACGATCTCAAATGTATGAGGGATCGAAAGAGGAGTAGTAATCTGCTCCAAGTGGCCGATGGCAGAACGAAAATAGACAGGCTGTGCAGTGGCCTGACTGGCAAGCTGCTTTTGAGTGCGACCGTGGCCTCGCGATGTGCTCGCTTACTGGAGAACCGTCTTCGGCCGCTGGTCTACCAATGGTCATCAATGTATGCAAAGCGTGGTCTCATGACTCTCATCATTACACGCTTTCTGGGTGGCAGCACTCTCAGCGAGATTGTTGTAGATCTTATCCTAGCACGGCCCGTCGCTCTAAATGGTCCCCAAGCAGTAACCCTGGTATATTGACCAGCCCTACCTAGTCTTGTAGTCAATGTGCGTCTTTGAAAGGTTACCAATTGGAACAGGTCGTGAGCTAGAGAATCACTCGGCGTGGAATGAATCGAATGATCCTTCAGGAACTTCAGGGTTTTGGGTCGTGGTCAGCATCGCTCGGGCTCAATTTGGATCTCGTCAAGTTGCATAGCCGATGGACTGCGATTGCCGCTCGAACGTGGAGGCAAGTGCAAGCGCTTTGATGAGGAAATCATCAGCTTGTGCGGGTGAGAATCAGTCGCTTGCGCCACAGCAGAATCGTATGTTCCGCTTCCGAATGCGCTCTATCCTGGCTAATGGGAACGCGTGACTGCACCAAGGATCAGCTCTTGTGCATTGATCAGTTGCCAACCGGTTTGCTGCGTTCGCCATATCGTTGATTTCTCCGTAAACCACCCGACGCTAGAGCATGCGAAGATATGCAAGGTACTTCAGGGAGTGCGTGCTAACGTCTTGATGCATGTCTTGTCGATGTGCCACCTCGGCGAGGCGTAAGCGAGAGCGATGCGGCTGTCAAAGTCGGACTCTGGGACTCTGGGACCAACGTGGGACATTCTTGTGATTATTATCGTCCAGCTGCTGTGCTAATAAGCGGCTACGTGCTGCCGTGTATTCTGGGCAGGAGATCAGCGGTCAACCAGAGTGATCTGCCAAATGCGCCGGGAATCGGTACCTCCACTGTCGGATTCCAGCTACAGTAGGCCCGGATGCAAGGCGAAGTGGGGCAGCCTCGGACGCTGCCCCGTACCAACAATCATTGATGGTTGATGGTACTGTACTAACGGCATCGCCTCCGTTGAGCCTTGCGAGTCACGTACGCTGTTTGCGGCAGTTGTGTACAACACGCTGGTCATAATGCCCTGCCCTCCCTATACAGGATGTACCGCCCTCTAGCTCCACACTCCATTCACCCAAAACTGGGATGATAGTCATGTTTTCTAGTTTGCATTGAGATCGGCCCGGCGAATACGAGACCGTATCTATCGGGCTTCGACGATCCGAGACATCTTCTTCAGGAGAGACGTCGCTGTCGGCGGCTCCTTCGCCGCCGCCATCGTTTAGCGCAAAAGCTGGCATGGTTCGTGCCCAAGTGCACGTGAAGGGCTGTTCGTGTAGCGCTTCATCAAGGCGTTTATGGCTGCAACGCCTGGCAGCCTATCCCCATGCGAAGGCTGAGATTGCTGATGCCTCACTGAGGCTCGAGTGAGAACGTTGGCAGCCAGGCATCTAGTCCTACCTCCAATGCCTGCGACTCCCATGGCGGCAACCCGCTAGATTCATGGCGTGAACCGACGGCAGTCTCGGCAGGCTGCCAAGTCCAGCCTGTAGGGTCACTTGTGAAGAGAGATTGAAGCTCGTCAAAATTGATCTGGTCTGACTGTGGCATCGCCTCTGATCGCAATTCTGGCGCCAAGTGACTTTCGTCTCGCGCGTGGTTTGGTCCCGAGTACGGCAGCCCTGATGGCATGGAGCGAGCTAGCGAAGGTCGGATAAAGGAAGGAGTGGCGGGAAGTGCTGGTTGCGGCATGGTCTCTGGAGCATGCTTTTCCGGGATGGATTTTCTGGCCAGACGATATATTGACAAAGGGTTGAGGATGTAGTCGGGCGCGCTTTGCGCAGGTGTTCCAGGCGCTGAGCCCGCATTGTCGTGATCATCGGCCTCGTTGTTCGAATACGGGTCTTCCTGGATGAAATTAGGATTTCTCGTGGCGTTAGATATCTCAATGCCGATTTTCTCCACCATGGTGTTGGCAGCTTTCGAAAGTGGTGCTGCATCTGCGTACATGGAACGCATGATCTGCAACGCCTTGACGTTGTTCTGGACATGAGGAATGGTATCGGCCAGCAAGACTTTGCTGCTCTCCGCGGCGGGGTCGACAAGCTGGGTCAGATAGTAGAGCATTATCTTGCAAGAGTCGTAAAGGATGGTCGGCAGCCACGAATCAGCAATGGCGTGAGGACCATGTCGGAGAGCTTCTGCCATGATCGTCGCAAGACTTCGGGCGTGATCGAACAGTGTACTTTGTAGATGACCCAGGAACTCGCTCTGCTCGGGTGGGAAATCAAAGGGCGCTCGTAACTTGTACAGCCCGGGTGCGGCGATGCGATATAGGTCGCACATGGTCTGATGGTAAGCGTAATGCAATGCGCATAACGCACCGACTTGCGAAGTCTCCTGGCGAATATAGAGTGTCGTTGGAGTGAACTGCAAATTGGCGGGCAGTGTGTCGTACCAATGCCGCAATTCCCGATCAAGCTGAGCGAACTCGGAATCCGGCAACCAAGGCATTTTGGCTGTGTCAAGGTGCTTGATATATCTGAGCTACTGTCAGCTTGTTGTTCTTGCACTGGATTTCAGTCACGCACTTGAGCACTTTTCGACGCATCGCAATGTGCCGGATGTAGAATGCGGTCATACCCATACAGTCCTGTCCCTATGTCAGACATGTTTCGGCGCTTCCTTGTGATGTTGCAGAGCGTAGATATACCTGAGGATATGTTGGAAGTACTTCGACTGGCAGGAACTTCAGCATCTGCCCTTCTTCCAGCGTCTCCGTGATGCATGGCTCTTCTAGCACAAAGTTGCGCTCGTTGCATGGAAGCTGAATCTTGATATCGTCTTCGTCAATGAGGGTGAGCTGATCGATGCCACTGCCGACCAAAGAATCAGTGATGTAGCAGCACCACATCAGTCGCCTGCGTGACTCCTTGACACTGGCAGAGGGTGCATCGCCGCCCTCGCGACAGAGGACGTCTGTAGAGTGCTCAAGATTGATCTGTAGTGCTTGAGCCATACGTGCTGTGATGGCGCTGAGCATGAAAGCATTGGAATAGTGTCCCATGCGGATCTCGTAGTCATGTAGCAGAACTGCAGCCATCAGATTCTCGACCGAGATGCGATCAAGTCTTGCCAGGATGAGATTCTGGGCGTGGTGAGCCCATTGCCTCCCGGCGTCCAGGGGGTTGATGTGCAGGACTGTATTCCTTGACGTCTCATATTCGACGGCGTAGAACAAAGCTCCCAGAGCGCAGACAATGTGCAGCAGGGGGTTGCCGTCATGGTTCCGCGAAGAATCACTGTCGAGTTTCTGCAGAAAGGATGGTTTATGAAGGAAGGCGAAGCACCTCAGATGGTGCACATTGGCAAAATAACGCTCGACTAGGACGCGCGCTCGTGCATGATCAGGCAGATGGGGTGCGATCAACCAGTGCAAGTCGTCGATGATCGAGGTCGTGGGCGAATGGGGCAGTGCAGGCGATGCCAGACCAAGACTGCCTCCTGGAGTTGCGTCGGGTCTTCTGCTGGGACTGGGTCGGCTCTCCGGCGTCAGCTCAGCGTCTGCAAGCGCTGATTCAGTCGACGGCGATTGCTGCTCGGACACAGCCGAGGAATGGGCGACTCGCCGCTTCCACGCGGGTTCGGAATGGTCTTCATATCGGCATGGCAAAGACTTGTCGTTGCACCTTGCACACATGGGTTTGTGGCCCGAGCATCTGTACACTTTTCGTCAATCAGGGTCCGTGGAGTGCGTGCCTTCTCGCAGCTCGCGCTGTGGTGCTGGCGCCCACCTTGTCTTGGAGCCGCGGCATTCGATGCATGATCTGTAGGTGCGTTTCCGCTTGAGCGCAGATGCTCCGTTCAAGTCGGCCGGCTGCTGTGGCGTCCCCGCCACCGCCACCGCCTCTCCGGACACGCTCCTGGCCCTGCCGGATGGAGCGCATACCAGACCGAGACGGTCGCAATTGTAGCACCTTGCTGAATCAGCGCAAAGCCGTCTCTCTCACGAGCAAGCCACTCACCTGCCCGCTCGCTCATCACAGCGCACTTTCCGTGCTCTGCAAGTCTCGCACCCCAGCCGCGACCTGTTCATGTGTCAGAGAGTTTTCGATGCTCACCGCAAACGGCTGGCCGGTAGAACTAGCTCTGGCGTGACAAGACCAGCACTGCTCAACGTTCTACGCGCGTCGTGGCCTCGCCATCCACCAAGCACATACCTTGTCGTGCGCCTGGGCTTGACGATGCCGTTCTTGGTGTCTGCCATCAACCCTCGACCACGCCACGTTGGATGGAGAGCAGAGGGCGTGACGGCTCATCGGCAAGGAAAGGAAGGGATCAGGTCTTCCGCGGTATCAGTTATCGCAGCAGATCGGGCCCACTTTCGCGTGCACGTGTTTTGGCACTGCTTCTTGAGGCGAGGCGAGGCGAGGCGAGGCGAGGCGTCGGAACAGTGAGCGAGCAATGGTGCAGGCGCACAAGGAGCTGGATTGTGGTAACAATGCGACAAGTGCTTGGATTTTGAGATGCGACTTCCAACGCGGGAGAGCTAGCCCGATTACGGTTCGTCCCCCCCCCCCCCCCACCAAACCTTCCGCCGCCTTTCTGGCTTCGAACAACGACAGTCTGTTTCGTTGCCATCACCAACATCACTGGCATCAACATTGTCACCACACCACCCCAGCTCATTCGGCGTCGAGTGGACAGTGAGGTGCATGCTCATTCACCTGTATGCCTCCTCTCTTCTTCTCGTTGCTGTCATGGAACGGCAACTTGAAGCCTCCCTCGTCCTCAGGAACAGCAAGCCAGAGCCGCATCAAATGGCGCCGCACTCTCGGCCGACCCTGTTCGTCGACGGAGCCCGGAGGATAGTCCTTGTACGCAGTGCGAGCATGGAACACGTGAGTATTGGTGATGAGCTGGATATCGCCGGGCTCCAAGATCATGTGCAGCGCAAGTCGTGTGCACGTCTCTTCCAACACCTTCAATGCCTCTTTCTGCTCCTCCGAGAGCGGTGGAATCTTGGCGTCTGGTCCAGAATTGAACCGAGCGAGAGATGTGACATTGTTCGGGTCGAATCGAGCCCATACTCGGCCATTGCCATCGTTTTCCATGAACATGATGGCCGACCGAAACCACTGCTCCTGGCCCTCACTGACCTCGCCTTTGCGATCGAAATACCAATTCGGAGTCACGAGAGTCTTGACAACATCACGCCGTTCTGCCTGCAACGTGTTGAAAACATGGTGCGTGGACACGATGTCAGATTCGCCGCCTTCCAAGGCTTTGGCCATGCACAGCAGACCAACCAGATCGGCTCCATCTGTATGGAAATACTGCCTGCCGGCTGTCAGCATTCTTTGCGTCTCTAAATTAAAGCGTTCCATTAACTGACTTGGCATTGGTTCTGTAAATTCGAACGCGATCCTTCTGGGTTGGGTCCTCACCGAGATCCTTGACGTGACCGAGAACATGCCCTCTGCCATTCTGACTTACGAAATAGCCAAAATATGCACCCAGTCCCATATATGCAGTCTGAATCCATGTCAGCACCTTCCAACCACGCCCGAACATGGAGCAGTACCTACAGCTGACTTCTGCAGACCCCATTCCTGCACTGGAATTCCCTTGAACAGTATGAACCCCTTTCCATTCACGATCTCGTTCCGCACAGCACCGAAGAATGAAGCGAGCTTCGGCAACGGAAACAAATCCTTCGAGATGCCAGTCAACGGCTTGCCCGAAGCAATGTACGCGTCTGCCGCCGCGCCGAGTTCGGCAATCTCCTCCTCACTGAAAACATGAGTCCATCTTTCAGGGTTGTCGCGATAGTCTTCGGCCTTCCACACAGTTGGACCTGATATCTCCTTCGGAAACTCTTCGTATGGTCGAATCAAATCGTATATGGGAGCATGTTGGCCCGAGGTTTTGAAGCCGTCCGGGAATATAGCTTTGCTGACTGGCTTGCTTGCCAGTACATGGGGTGCTACTGGAGCAGATTCAGTCAATGCTGGTGCCATGCTTTGAAACAAAAGTGAGCAGGTATTTTTTGATCAGAATGTCGTACCGAATTCCCTGGTCATGCTCTGTCATCACTGACCTACTATATCTTTCTCCTAGGTACCGATCTCGCCATCAGCGCTCGGGCCAAGTTGGAGAGCCAGGGTGATCGTCCCCCACTCAGCGTTCCGTATCACCACCCAAGGCGATGAGCCGATGCCGATGGTCTGCTCTCGGTTCCTCGCTCTGGACATGGACAGGTCGTTGTAGCATCAACAAGCAGGTCATTGGGCCGCCGAACGCACGTCGAGGCCATGTCAGCCACGCCAAAATCAACATGATGATCGTCAGCCGTATCTAATATGTTCGAGCAGCTCACATCTCCAAGGATCGGCGCAAATAGAGCAGAGATTGGAAGAGCTGTAAACGACGCAGAAGAGGCGGCATTGAGACTTCAAATATGCCATCAGAAATTTGATGATCAGCACTTGACGTGCTTCATTCTGCAGGACACTAGTGTCAACCACGCCAGAGCGATTCGGACTAGGCTTGTTGTGATTGAGCTCCTTCTATGGCGACAATGATGAGGAGACTGACGTGCTTGACGCGCGACTGAGAGCAGGCCGAAGCGATGAAACGGCACCAGTACACGACTTGGCGGGAATGTCAGTAGTAGCAACGATGCAGGAGCAATAGCACTCTCTGGGATCGCGGTTGTCTGCCTCAGCAAGCCCATCGGAGTCTAGCGATCAGCCTACCACTTACCTTGAACGAAACCACATGTCTTAAGGATTTGTGCCAGGAACCCGCTTCTTGTCTCCTGATCACATCTACCTTTATACAGGCGTAACTCCCAGACTGGCCGTGTAGAAGATCACCATCTATCTACAACAACCAAATTCTCTCATTGCCCTTGACATCTCGGATCCCCTTCCTGTTCATTCTCCCATAATTCAATCTCATGCCAAGCGCAAGGAAAAAGGTAGCGAAACTGCAACTAGCACACACGAAATTGCCAGTCGGATATCCTTGCGCCTTCTCAGCAGGTTTCCAGATCCACTGTGCGATGATTTGAGCGATCCCAGCCATACTGTTGTTCGCGGCCGTTGCGATTCCCATGCAAGCGAACGCAGGCACATTACAAGTAACCCAAGCTGAAAGGGGTCCTGTTGAGGGAAAGGCCCCACAAGCGCACAACATCAGACAGCCATAGCGTGCCGTGTAAGCATCAGCCGGTAAGAGTCCAGCTGTCAGCCAGCCAACGCCACCTAGCATCGAAGCGCCCATGATATGCCAGCCTCGGGCGTTGTGGCGATCTGCAGACCAGCCAAGGAACAGGCAGAAGAAGTACCCCACAACCCACGGCGGTACAGTCATGAGCTGTGCTTGGATGGAGGTATACCCGAGACCATTCACAATGGTAGGCGTGAAGAAAGTCAAAGACCCGAGCGGCACACAATCGCAAGCCTAGATCAAAATCAGCACACTCCCAGAATCGTCAGACGGGCACTCCCGACCAAACCCACATAAGTAAAATAATGCGCCAACATCCTCGGACTAAACGCCGTCTCCAAAATCTCCGCTCTCGTCGACCTCTCCTTCGTATACCCACCCCCTTTCACCGCAATCCGATCCTGCACATATTTCTTCTCATCTTCGCTCAAAAATTTCGCAGTCGCAGGGTAATCCGGGAGAAAGCACAAAACCGGAAGCACCATCAGAATCGTGATCACTCCTTCGATGATGAACAGCCATCGAAAGCCTTCAAGACCTCCATCTCCGTTTAAATACCCGACTCCGTACGCGATGCAGCCCCCGAAAGCCCCGGCTGCTGTGGCGGATGCCAGGACGAAGGCGATGCGTACGGAACGTTCTTCCACCGGGTACCAGAATGTGATGAGGTACACGATGCCGGGGAAGAATCCTGCTTCCTAAAAAAAAAACAACCCAAATCAGCTGACCTTCTACCTTCTCCTTGTGGGCGGCTGAACACGTACAAAAACCCCGATGAAAAACCTCAACACCACAACCTGCGCATACGTCCTCACACCCGCGAACCCCAACGTGAAAACCCCCCAACACCCCAACAAGACCGCAAGCCACACACTCGGTCTCACGTACCTCTTCAGGATCAAATTCGACGGCACCTCGAAGAGGAAATACGCGAGCGAGAATAAGGAGACGGCGACGGCGTAGTTTTTGTTGGTCATGTGGGTTTTTTGGAGGAGGGAGTCGCCTGTTTCGGAGTTTAGGACTTTGGAGTTGCCGATGTTGCCGCGGTCGAGGTAGTTGAGGAGGTAGAGCCAGGCGCAGAGGGGGAAGATGTGGAGGTCCATTTTTCGGACGAGGCGGCGGGAACGTTTTTTGTCTTCGATGAAGATGGGGGGTGAGGAGTGGTGGTGCTGGTGGTGCTGGGGGATGTTAGAGGTCTCTTTTCTTTCTTTCTTTCTTGATTTATTGTGGGTGTTGTGGTTTTTTTTTTGTCCTGTACTGACTGGAGGATTATCACTGGCGGCTTCGGAATGAATCGCATCTGCCTTTTCTCCTCCTGCTGTGGAGACGTTTTCCGTGTGGTGCGTGATCTCTGACTTTTCGGCCATTCTGACTGTCCTGCTACTGTCACGTCTGAAGAGACAACAGAAGTGTGAAGAGAGAATTGGAATGAATGACACTCACAAGTGCCTACTACCTTTAATGATTAACATCGTGCAGGTCCTGTTCCTTGTCGCGGCGTGTGAGTGCGGGCAAGTCGGCCGTTGAAGAAGATGTGCCGCCTCACGATCATACATGCAGATCCTATTTGGGGTTTGGTTTGCGGAGAAGTGTGCGGAGAAAGGTTGCCTTGGAAGTCGCTTGACCTTCTCTCTCGCTTGCTTTCAAGGTTCTGCCGGCCAGTTGGCGAATAATAATATACCAAGGTTGTGGAGAGGCTCACGGCACATAATAAGGTGCAGTTGACGTTGACACTGGCGAGCGAGCACCGTCTCGAGGCAAAGGCCCATCCCGAGGAGTCTGCAATCGCGTGTACAGCTCCTCCAGCATTGACACCATCCAGATACCTATTTATTATTATGCCCGCTCGAATTCGCTCCGACGGTGACGTAAACACAAAGACCTGATCCGATCCGATGGAAGAAGACACGGAGCTCGGGCCGGGACCAACACCAACACCACCACCACCACGACTCGTTGGAATATCGTCGCAGGAACAACTTTACCATCGATTGAAAGGACGATTATCAGCACCAATCAGCTTCAGCACCTTCCATCAAGACCATGCCTTTCGCCGAGCTTTCCACTGCCCACACGGTTCAATATGTGGAGAATGCGGAACTCGGGTACAATGCTCAGGAAGACAAACTGCCCATTGTGACCATCCACGGTCTGGGTAGCTCTCAGAACTATTATGTGCCTGTGATGCCGTATCTTGATGGACACCGCGTCGTCGCTCTCAGCAACTACGGCGCAGCAAGGTCAAAGTCACGAGGAGAAAAGCTCACGATGGAAGAGTTGGCTGAGGATGTTGTGGCTTTGATGGATTACTTGAAAATTCCCAAAGCAGTCGTGGTAGGCCATTCAATGGGAGGTCCGATGGCGCTCACGGTAGCTGCGAGGCATCCCGACAGAGTTGCGGGTGTGGTTGCGATTGGGCCTGTAAACCCGCATCGCGTCAGGCCGGAGATGTTCACCTCGCGAATCGAGACGGTTACAAATCGTAAGCTTCGCGTTGCGAGTTCTTGAGCTATTCGATTGACCAGCGTGACAGATGGGATGGAGCCGCTGGCCAACACAGTCCCCAAAGCTGCGACAGGGTCGAAGAGCACACCTTTGATGTGGGCAATGATTCGAGAGTTGATTCTCAATCAGGAGCCAAAGTCTTACGCAAGTCACTGCGATGCCATCGTAAATATCAAGGATCCTGGATTTGACAAGATGAAGACTCCGGTCTTGCTTTTGGCAGGGAAGGAAGACCCGAGTACTCCGTTGGAAGGTGTGCAGAACATTCATGAACGCCTTGGCAGCCCAAGGAAGGAACTCAAGGTCTATGATGGGGTTGGTCACTGGCATTGTATCGAAGTGCCAGATCTCGTTGGTGGCGATATTAAAGCATTTGCTGCTTCCCTAGCTTAGAAGGCCACGACTGACAGAAAGCAAAATGAATTCCCATCATGTCTCGACCAAACTCTCGAATAGACGGTCTCTCTTCGTGATCTGCTTCCTCAAATTCTCCCGAGCTTCCTCTAATTTTGCCCGCGCAGACCTAGCGTCCGAGGGAAGGTCTCGGAAGGCACTCAACTCAGCTTCGAGAGTTGATAGGTATGCTCTTTGCTTTGCAATGTCTCGAATGCGCTGTTGTGTGGACTCAAAACTGCCGCCGGACGAGGTTGAAGGCCTGTTTGCGCTTAGACGTTCCTCGTATTCGGCCACCTTGGCCTTCAGAGTCTTGGTACTCTTCATCCAGTCATTTGTAAGTTGACTGGTATCTGCTGGAGTCTGGAAAGCATCACTATGGAGCTCATTCAGCAGGGTCTGCAGATGAGCCTGCTCGGATGTCAAGTTCGCCAGTTGGCTCTCGGCATTCCGAATTTGCTGCTGCATCTCGAATTGAGCCGAGCTGAGGTCTATGAGCTCTTTGCCAATCGTAGCAATGTCGGCATTCGGACAGTCCAGGGCGACTGTCGTCTCAGCCAGCGTGTCAAGATGCGTCTCATTTGCCAGTTCTGCCTGTAAAGCATGCAGTACCTCGTCGCTAACATTCCCGTTTCTCTTCGTCAAGGACTGCAAGGCGGCTTTCTCGATCTTGTCGATCTGGTTGCGTTGCTCATCCGCGCTCTCATTGAGATTGGCCAAGGTCAGAAGAGCGTGGAGTGTGTCTTCGTTCCTCTCGAACGGTGGTAGTCGCGAGCCATATTTTCTGCATATCCACGCGTCGACTGCCGCCCAGTCTTTTGCCTGCGCCTGCTGCGCTCGCGCTTTCGAGGGCGAGAACAACGCCGACGCCGACGCCGTCCAATCCGAATCCATTGCGATCTATGTCGTTGCTGATTAGAAAGAGTGAAGTGGATGTGTGCCCAATGGAGGAATCTTGAAGGAAGAAGTCCGTGCGTGCCTTCTGCCAAGCAAAGCTTGATCGCCTGCCTTCGTGACTTTTGCCATGGACATCGAAACAACACCACCACTTGGCGATCTCTACGACCTCGACTTCTGGCTCGCTGCTGCCATCGTCACATACCGCTCTGATACCAGGCCCAATGCAAGACCATGTCTACCAAAGCGGCCCTGAAGGCGGCAAAAACGGCCCTGGACAACAAACAATATGACCAGGCCATCAAGCAGGCCGATGCGGTCTTGTCCTCGGATCCCACCAACTACTTTGCAAGGCTATTCTTGGCACGAGCACTCGAACTGCAGAAGAAATACGATGAAGCTGCGAAGCATTATCGCTCCGCCGCCGATGCCAAGCCTGACGACTCACAAGCATGGCAAGGCCTCCTCAGCGTTTATGAGGCCCAGGGTTCAGCACGACTAGACGAATACCGCGAGGCCTCAGTCAAGGTGGCGCAGATTTTTGCGGCCGCTGATGACAAGCATCGAGCGCAGTCAACGATAGATAAGCTTACCGAATTCACGAAACTCCATGGCACGGCAAAACAGAAGAAGGAGGTGCTCAAGGTTCTGCTTCCAGGCGGCCCAATCTACGATGCTCTCGAGGGTCGCATTCCCCATGCATCGCATACCCTCACAAGGCTTGTGGAGATTGCCGAATTGGAAGAGACACAACTCATCTCCAAGGAAATCAATGAGAAACGAACGAGAATTGGTGCCAGAGTGGGACAGGTCACCGTGGAGGTCAAGCGCGACGTGTACGGAAAAAGCGAACTCGAAAGTCTTTATCAACAAATCATCGATTGGTCTCAGGACGATGAGATTCGAAGGCAATACGAAGAGAAGTTGCTCCAGAGGGCCTATGACCACTTAGTCGTGCTTCCTCTTGACAGTAAGGCTGCAAAGCTCAATCAGTGCCTCGATCTCGCTGAAGGTATGGTCATCATACACCACCATTTTCGCCTCGCTTGGGACTTTGTCCTGGAATCAAGAGATGTAGACGACCTGAAGGATCTGGATGTGGGCATCCTGAGAGAATACCTGCGCTCATTCCCGGAGACGGGTCTATCAAAGATCTTGCGCGGTTGGCTGACGAGCGAGCTGTCACCCTTCCCGGCCCTTCCCAAGGAGGATGAAGATGACGATTTCGCGTTCGCGTTCGAGATTAGCCCGGAGGACCGTCTCTTGTTATTCACCGAAGGTTTACCTGCTGCGGAACAGTCGCCCTTCGCATACCGTCTCGTGTCGGACTACTACCTGCATCTTGACGAGCATGAGAGTGCCGCAGACACGGCAAGAGCTGGCTTGAAAACGCTAGCCTCAGAGTCCAGCAAACTTGGTCTTACTCTGCAGAACACAAGGGACGCCATCAGCGCTGTATTGGGGACAGCTTTGGTCCATCATCAAGCACCCCGAAATCACGCTGAAGCCCGACGTCTCTTTGAGGATATTTTGGCTCGGAAACCAAAATTCACATCAGCTTTGATAGGGCTTGGGCTCATTTTCGAGGAGACGGAAGACTACCAAGACGCCGTCGACTTCCTGACACGAGCACTGCACGAAGACAAAGGGAATGTTCGTGTGGGTACAGAGCTTGCATGGTGTAGGGCACTCAGCGGCGATTACTCACGTGCACTAACCGAACTGGACGACTTTCTGCAAATGATACAAGCCGATGATCCAAGAGCGAAAGATCTCAGAGCCCTCACTTTGTACCGCACAGGTATATGCTTGTGGGAGTTGGACGCTTCAAAGACAGCTCGAAGAGATCGCAGTGGCGCGTACAGTCGCTTTCTGGCAGCGATCAAGACGAACGTAAATTTTGCACCTGCATATACAAGTCTTGGCTACTACTATTCCGACTATGCGAGGGACAAGAAGCGCGCCCGGCAATGTTTTCAAAAAGCATTCGAGCTCTCCTCCTCTGAAGTCGAAGCCGCTGAGCGTCTAGCCAAATCCTTTGCAGATCAAGGTGACTGGGACATAGTAGAGATCATTGCCCAGCGTGTCGTGGATTCTGGCCGGGCACGACCGCCTCCTGGCTCCAAGAAGAAAGGCCTCAGCTGGCCATACTCTGCTCTTGGCGTGGTTCAGATGAACAAACAAGAATATCAACGCGCAATTGTATCATTTCTTGCAGCATTGCGGATCAGTCCCGATGACTACCAGTCCTACGTTGGACTCGGCGAAAGTTACCACAATTCGGGCCGCTACAACTCCGCGCTGCGCACTTTCAATTACGCTCTGGAGCCTCATGATGGGATCAAAATGAAGGTCACTGGCGAGAAGTGGTTTGCTAAATATATGCTGGCCAATGTACATCGAGAGCTGGGCGATTATGATGAAGCTGAATCAGGACTGCGAAGCGTGCTCGAAGAAAGACCATCAGAATTTGGAGTCCTCGTGTCGCTGTTGCAAAATCAAGTAGAGCATGCTGGACAGTGTGTGGAGGCTGGTCTTTTCGGACGGGCCATCGAATGTGCAGCCGATGCTATCGACGTTGCCATCGAGATTGCCAAAGACGTGCCCAATGCTTTTAATCTCTGGAAAGCTGTTGGAGATGCTTGTGCTATATTCTCATGGGTTCAGAGCGCCACGGATGATTTTCCGACGGAGACCATTCGAGATGGTCTCTTGGATCGTTCTTCCGATCAAAAGATGTACGAGCTGCTTTCGGAAATTGACAGGGTGTCACTAGGCGCTCTAGACAAGGACGGCTTGAATGGCACTGCAGCTGCTGTGCCGTCGGATCCGCTTATTGTATCGATTCTTGCATACAAGCGCGCGATTCATGCCAGCTCCCACGATATACACGCGCAAGCTGTCGCTTGGTACAATCTAGGATGGATGGAACAGCGGGCGTACGCATGTAGCGATGCGAAGTCTGGCAAGAAGTATCTTACCACAGCAGTCAGATGTTTCAAGCGAGCCATCGAGCTTGAGTCGGGCAATGCAGAGCTCTGGAATGCCCTCGGCGTGGTGACGACGACACTGAATCCAAAAGTGGCACAACACTCCTTCGTCAGATCGCTGCATCTGAACGAGCTCAATGCCAAGGTATGGGCAAATCTTGGTGTTCTTTACCTTCTTCAGAACGACATCGAGCTGGCGCATCAGTCGTTTGGAAGGGCTCAAAGCACAGATCCGGACTATGCTCACGCGTGGGTCGGAGAGGGCATTATTGCTCTTATGACTGGAGACGTGCGAGAAGCCCTCAATCATTTCACACACGCTTTTGAGATCTCAGACTCTGCCTCGCTCATCACTAAGCGACAGTACACAATATCCAGCTTTGATCATTTGCTCTCGACGAAAGCCACATCAAATGACCTCACGAGACTGATCCAGCCAATTTTCGCACTCGAACAACTGGGAACTCAGCGGCCCAAGGATCTGCCATATCGCCACCTGGCAGCTCTTTTCCTCGAGCGGGTAGGTGACCATGTTGGCGCCATCGAAAGTCTCGTCAAATTATGCGAGAGCGCAGAAGCAGAATATGAAGCCTCTGAGTCACTCGCCTCGCTAGCACGATTCGCTCTCTCAAAGTCAGATCTTGCAAGGAATCAACTGGCTGCATCGCAATTCTCCGACGCAGCAGAAAATGCGGCCCTCGCTCTTGACCTCTCCTCCGATGCCGATAGTAGCGGCTTAGCTGCAGATGCCAGACGAAAGCTTCGACTCTCTTGCCATCTCACCGCCGGACTTGCGCAGTACTATTTGCGCGAAATCAGCGAGAGCGTCAGCATGTTCAAAGCTGCACTCATCGAAAGCGAGAACGACCCTGATGTGGTATGCTCGCTAGTGCAGGTACTGTGGGCACAAGGTGGACAGGCGGAGAAGGATGTTGCGAGAGAGCAATTATTCGAGGCAGTGGGCAACTTTCCCGAGCACATCGGGGCTGTAACACTGCTTGGTGCCATTGCAGCTCTGGACGATGACACTGATACGACGAGCGCGGTGAAGGATGATCTGCTCAGTTTAAAGACGAAGGATGCGATAACAACCAAGGACTTCACTGACCTCGAACTTCTGCTCTCTGCTCTTGCATCCTTGTCAACCGGTGGCTCAGTCGAGAGCGAAGCGCAATCAGCTATCCTTCTGAAGCCCGACGATCCACAGGCTTGGTCTCAGCTTTCTGAACTGTCCGGCGAGACCGAGGCCGCCGATATGGCTTTGATTACCGCGGCTCAAGCTGTCCCTCCGCTTGGAGAAATGTCATCAGAAGATTTGAGTCGAGCTTTTGCGGGAGTTGGAACAGTTGGTGACGCACAAAGAGCAATATTTTTGGCGCCCTGGCAGGACGCCGGTTGGTCATCAATGAGCGAGATTTTGAGCTGAGAGAAGGCAATGGGACCATCCCAAATTGCCAATTGACGGATCTTAGCTATGGCGACCGCCGCTGTGCGTGCTGGCATGTAACAGCGCCAGCCCGCCCTCCGAATACTCGTTATGTAAAGAGGGCAGTGGCAAGTAGTTCCAGCGCCTTCATCCAGCATTTTTGATACGAGGGCAATATGCCACTGACTTGTTGATGCTCCATCCCTTACGAATGTCTCCAAATACACGCACAGCCGCTCCAAAACCTCGACTCCAGCGTCTCGGCGCCTTAGAGAGAGCCGCGTTGAGAGAGTCTTCGGAAATTTGAGCATCTCGCGAGTCGGAGAAGACCACCACCGCCTTTCAGGCATCGGGCATAGAATCTCGAGTCGGTTACTGATGCTATACAAAGCACTCGAGAGCCGACGGCGAAACGCCCGATGATCGCCCCAGACAATTTCCGCGGAATGAAAAGCCGTGCACAATGTGAGCCTGGAGAAGTCCACCTCGTCTTATTCTAACTCCAGCCTTGGGATGACGGGGCCAAAACACCCGGGAACAAAACACGGCAAGCACAGAACACAAGCAGACAACGGAGCGTTGGAGGAGATAATAATACACATGGGGTGAGGGTATCATAGGTTATACAAGTTGATCATTCACCACTCCAAATCACTCCTCTTCATCCCCTTCTTCTTCTTCTTCTTCCACCAAGCTTTCAGCGTCAAATCTCTGCCTCTCACGCTCCAATTCCGCGCGGAGAGACTCATTCTCCACGCGCCCTTCCTCCAATCTCCTCCGCGCACCCTGCCTATCCAAAAGTCGCGCTTCTCTCTCGGCCTTTAAGCGGCGCTCCAACTCCTTGAGACGATGTAGCCAACGCGCCTCCGAAGGCTCCATCGGTGGCGGAGCCACCACGATTTGTTGGGGCGAGCGGGTGGGAGAAACGTTCTCGTCGCCTGCGCCGTAGTGCAGCTGTTCTACGGCGCTGGCGGAGTGATGGCGGAGGAGATGCGCCATGACTTGGCGTGCTGGAGACTGTCCGTTCTTAGTGGAACCACTGCTGCTGCCTGCGCGCATGAGCTCGGGGTTCGTCAGGGCTTGCTGGTTGAGCATCTGCTGTGCCATGGCGGACGGGTGCTGGCGATGGAACTTGAGCTCGGTCTTAAGGAGCTTGATTTCGCTCTTTAGTTTGGAGATTTCTTCGGAGCCCTTGATGAGTTTGCCGCTTGACGATCGCTGTGTCTCGGGTCTTTGCTGTTGATGTGCTGCTTGGGCTCTGGCTTCTTCCTCGATACGCTGCTGAGTCTCAATGACTGCGTGCTCGAGATTGTCCATGCGTCTGGCGCGCATTTCGAGGTTGTGCTCGAGCGTCTGGTAGTCTCTCCAGAGATCCTTCTCGATGCTTCGAATGCGGGTTTTGAAGCTGCCAAACAGTGCTTCCAACGTCTTGATCGCACTGATCATATTTTTATTGAAAGCTGGCAGGTTCTGGCCAATAGATTCGATAGATGGTATCTCGCCGTTGATGAGGCTGTTATCCTGAGCCCAATCGGCGCCACAAATGGTGGAAAGTCTGTTCCACACCGCAAGCAAAAGGCTGCACATTTCGTAAGACTGGTCGCGATATTTCTGCTCCAGCGCCGTCTTGCTGCGTCTCTCTTGTAAGAGGACTGTTTCGAGTTCCATGTAGCGGGACTCGTGCTGCGCAATAGCGCGCATATGCGACGCCTGGCCACGCGATGACTTCTCGAACTGTTCAAGGTCGTGCTTGCGGCCATTGCGCTCTTTCTCGAGTAGGTCGGAGAGTCTTCTGCTCTCAAGGCTGGTGCTCTCCAGCAGACCATCTCGGTGTCTGAGTAGACGTTCCTTGTCTGAAAGGTCCATCTTGGCTCTGTCGAGTTCGCTGGCAGTCGTGTCCAGATCACGCTGCAATTTCTCGATGTCGGCCAGTAAACTCTGCTTGGTACCTCTGGGGTCACCCAAAACGCTGCGCAGGCTTTGTTCGAGCTGATCAAGCTTTTGCTTCTCGCTCGTCGCCTCAACTTCTTTGGCAGATAGTGCTCTGCGCAGTCGGCGAACCTCGTCCTTTGTTTTGGTATTCTCAGAATTGAGGTCGTCCAGCACTTTCTGGACTTCTTCCTTGGACTTGTTTTCGAGGACGTCGCGCTGTCGGCGTTCTTCCTCCATAGTTTCTTCCATCTCGCGAGACTTCTCTTGCTCGTCCTGGATGGTCTGGTGGGCTGCATTGAGTGCGCCTTCGAGCTCTCCAATCTTGATCTTATCACCCTCCTGCTCTTCTCTCAGGAAGGTTATTTCAGAATGGAGACTCTCCTCGGCAATCTCGAGCTTGCGATTCTTCTGATCTAGCTCGCTGCACTTCTGATCCCACTTGGTGATTTCTTCTTCCGCCTCAGTCATCTGTTTCTCCAGATTGGCGATAGTGCGCTCATTGATGGCCTTGACATCTTCAAGGTCAATGACGCGGGCGGTGAGATCGCGAAGTTCGCCTTGTAGGCCTTTGTAGCCGTCGACAGTCGTCTGCAATCGCATCGATGTTCTGTCCAGCTTGTCTCTGAGCTCTTCGAGTTTCCCGTTGAGTTTGTCGCGCTCTTGCTCCAAGCCGGCAATCTCGTCGAGGGCCTCCTCCCTAATGGTGGCGATCTCGGCCTCTTGCTCCTGATTCAATTTCAGAAGCTCGTCACGCTCTTTGGAAATCGTGACAACATCATCCTGGAAGCTGTTCAACTCCTCCTCCATCTGCTGATAGTCTTGCTCAAGGACTTCGACGTAGTTGAGGTAGGTGTTGTGTTTTCGCTCCAGTTCCTGATATTTGAGCCGGTGCTCTGCGTTTACGTCGCGGAGCTCACCCTCCTTCTTGTGCCATTCTTCGCGTTCTGCTTCGGTGACGGCAGTGTGGTCGCTCATCCGCGAGTGCGCCCGCGGATGCTGATGCGCCCTGGAGACAGACCGATCAAAGATGCTTTCCCCAGCCAGTGATCGAGCGCCGCCATCGCTCTTTCGCGTCATAAGCTTGAGGTCTTCGACCTGTGTTTGAAGCATTTCGCGCTCTCGATTGCGTGATGTCAACATGCTTGTTTGCGCTGCAAGATTGCGTCGCAATTCTTCGGCTTCGTGTTTCTGCAACTCCAGTTCTCGCCGGAGATCTGTCACGACGGGATCATCTAGGGCGATTCTAACGCCACTGGCGATGTCATCCTCAATGTCGGAGTGAACGCTGTTGAGCTCGTCCATCCGGCTTCGTCTCCTTGGCGCCTTCAGCTTGTCGCCAACCCGAGTCGGCGCTGGTGATGCTTTCTCGAGACGTAGTGCAGTGATTTCATTGCGAAGCTTGGCGATCTCCTCCTCTGCCTGTTCGCGTCGTCCGGTCTCTGCATTCAGGAGGTCCTGCCACATTTCCTCCATCTCTCGCAAGCCAGTGGTCTCCTCGCCACGCTTGCCTGCCATTCCGCGCATGTGCTCTGCCATCTTGCGCTTTTCCTGCTCCTTGCTCATAACCTCCTCCCTCAACGTCGTGACCGTTTCCTCCAAGCGGTCATTCTTCTGATGCAAGTAGAGGATCTCCTCGTGCATCTGGGCTTGCAGAGTCGGATTATCGTCGTCATCGCGACTGGGGGTGGCAGTAGTATTTTGGCGTGCGTCTGCCAGCTCCTCCTCGAGCTCTCGGAAGCGAGTCTCATACTCGCGGAGCTTCTTGCGCAGGGCGTTGGCGTCTTTGCGCTCGTTTGCCAGATCCGTTTGAAGCTGGACGTTCGTTGCTATCAACTCGTCGACGCCTTCCTCGGAGTGCTTGTGGAGTGCCTCGCTCAGGTAGTGGATCTTGAGCTTGAGGTCGAAGTTCTCTTTGGTGAGAGCATCGGTCTTGGCATTTTGCTCCTTCAGCGTCAGCGTTCTACGCGGTGGCTTCTGGTGGTATGCGTCGCCGTAGCCGCCAGACGATGCTGGGCGGCGGTCTGGGGAGATGTTGCTGGTGCTCAGACGGAATGACTCGGCGACATTGTCGGGCACCTGAATGCTGGCGACTCGCTTGCTAAGCGCGGTGTCGAGCGCATTATCGAGATCCGCTTCATACTCGCGGTAGGCTTTTTGCTCTGGGGAGAGCGCGCGAGGGGTGGTCGACTCCATTTCTGAGCGGCTCATGGAATATGCCGATTGTGAGCTGCGGAGCGTGGTCATTGACGGCATGCGGAGCGACGACAAGCTGGAGTCGTCGTCCTGGGCGGCAGGCGCGGTCGATGCCGGTGCCGGTGCCGGTGCCGGTGCCGGTGCTGGCGACGGCGAGGAAGGCATGGTGAAAGGTTGCTCGTTCTCCATGGTAAAGAAGTGAAAGCCCGTGAGGGTGGATGCTGCTTTGGGTGGCAGCTGCGCGATCGCGCCTGCTACGCGAGAGGTGCTCTATACCATCTTGCAGTGCAGTGCGTGCAGTGCAGTGCAGTGCTAGCGTATGCAGGGTTCGAGCGGGCCGCTGTTTCGGATTGATGGTGGCTCGTGCGTGTTACAGATGCGCAACTTTATGGTTTTGTGGTAGCCGCGCTTCGAAAACCTGACCTTGGGGGAAAGTGTAGTGGAAGGGAAGGGAAGGAGAGGAAAGCGAGGGAAGGACGGGATTCTATGGCAGCGACGCGTCTGGCGGTGGCCGGGAATCACGAACGCGTCAAGAGGAAAAGACGCTGTACTCACCAACAAGCTACTCCTGAAAAGCTTCCAGCCACGACCACAGGGGCGAGACTCTGCGTAGAATACGGCGTTGATTGTCCAACAAGGGGAATATACATGCATTACCGCCTCCTGTGAGTCAAGGGCGTCCATGGCACCACCGTCGCTCTTGGGCTCTTCATACTCGCTCGACCTCGCGGAGCTGAAAGTGACGACTATCATGCCGTTCAGCAAGCGTCACGCGTCGATGGACATAGAATATCTCCCAGCTCCCCGCAGAACACTCTGTACAGAGCTCACACATGCACTTTCGAGTGGGATTTATGATATACAAGGTGCTCGGCTTAAGAACTCTCGAGGACATTGTATCTCAAAAATGCCAAGCCGCCTATGCCGCCAGCGTCGCTTGGGGAGCCCTTTCACAGCATCTCAATCTCGCTGAGCTGCAATCCATCCCATGACGTTCAGCAGGCGTCACGCGTCAATGCGCACCTGCTAAGAACGTTGCTCCGGTAACATAATAATGCCCAGATCTCACGTGCAGGGATCCCACAGTGGGCAACGTGCTCTAAAGCAGATGGCAGAAAGCAGTAGGCTTCGAGTCATCAGGATTGCTCCGCTACCAGAATGCTTGACTCAGTCGAACTTCATATATGCTCCAGTGGGTGTTCGAACGGCGTTGTTGAGCTGTAGTCCTGAGCGGCTGCCATATGAGAGTAATTAACCAAGTCGTGGCTCGCGAAAAGCATCCCTCTGCTGCAACCGAAATCCACTGTGAGATCGTCCGCTCGAACAGCTCGAGAAGATCAGTATCCGGGCCTGGCGTGTAGGTATTCGTATTCGTACATCTAGATTCTACGCTTTATTACTGATACGACAATGCCCAGACAGGAAAGTCCTTCACAGATCCAAAAACCTTGACCTCTTGCCCGCATCTATTGTTCATCTGGAATTGCATTGGCGATCGGAAGACCTGTGTGCTGCTGTGGCTCTACGAAAGACGACCACCTCTTCTGCTCTCCGCGCCGCCGTGATGTGCTTTTATGCTCGTGTGGAACATGAAGATCGGATCTCGTCCAGGCAAGCTTTGATTTCGTAAGCTTCGCTGTGAGACAAGTGCGCTTGACTACGCTAAACGCGGAGTTGACCATCGATGTAGGGATCCGTAGACGCTAAAGCGGGTGCGTCCCGTACGCGAAAGTTTCATTACGCTAGGATCTTCTATTACGCTAAGCGTTACGCGATATCTATGCGCGTATCTTTACGCGTATACTCTCTTCCTTTCTTTCTACAATATACTACTAGTACGTATCTACCCCTAGCCCCTACCCCTATTCCTTTATATATGCCTATATATATACGCGACGAGCTAATAAGGCGACTTCGATATCGCAGCTAACCGAGTTCCCCTATACTACTATACCTAAGCCTATAGCTCTATATATACCTCCTAATATACCGTAAGATATTAAAACCGTTGCCTAGAATAATATCCTACTAGAGCAATCTATAAGTATAGAGACTAGGGCATATATCTGCCTATACTTATACCTATATAGAGCTCCTACTATAAATATAAGAAGCGCCTCTTATAGGGCGAGTTATTTAATATGCCTAAGATAGAAATCGTAGTATATAATCTCTCTTCTACCTATATAATAGGCTAAACTAATGCCTATAGATCTGCCTAAAGACTAACTAGGAGGCCGTACGCACCTATATAGGTAAGGTAACTTATCGTATACCGGTAGGATCTAAGAACTTCGGTCGCTTCCTAGCTGCCTAGAAGAATCGCGATAGGTATATATAGTATTATGCCTATATTACTAGTTATTGCTAATACTATAATAGAAAAGACGAAGACGAAGAGACACTAAAGGAGTTGTACGAAGAGAAGGGCTTCTATAGTATATAACTCTGTCTTTACCTATACGTATACCTAAAGCTAATACCTTATAGACTATCTGCCGCGACACTTCGGCTCTCGCTATACACATTATCTATAGTGTACGTAGCTCCCTACCTAGAGCTTTGCCTATACTAACGTATATATAGTATAAGGGAAAAGTCGAGCAGCCTAAGGAGAAGGACCGTAGTAGTCGGTATACGCCTAAGACTAAGATAAAAAAGTGTATTAGTAGGTCTAGGCAGCTCTATAGGCAAAGCTTTTTACTAATATATCCCTTAGATTTCTTCGACAATGCCTAGGATCTGTACGAGGTTAAGTATAGCTATATCTTCACCCTTAGCTTTGCCTATACTAATCCGTATATAGCCCCGACGCCCTAGGTATATCGAGTAAGGGCAAAGCTAAGGGCAAAGCACCGGCTAAATCTACCGAGACAATCGAAGACTTAGAGACTAAGTCTAAGTCTAAAAGTAATAGCGAGGTATATATACCGATCTATGCCTATGCCGCTAGTTATATACTAACTCAAATAGGCCCTTCGTCGTCCGGCGCGGTAAGCACGGCAAGGTATAAATAGTTACGTACATACCTTTGCCTATACTAACGCCTATATAGATTGATCTGACTAAGGCTAACCGCGAGTTCCGTACCGAGTTCCCCGAGGCTATAGTGCCTTGCCTAGGTTGCTAGGCTAAGAAGGCTAAGAAGAGTAAGTCTAGAGCTTTAGCTATAGCAATGCCTATACTAACGCCTATAACAGACTGCAACCTTAGTGCCGATACCTGTAACTACACTAAGAACTATAACGTCGTTATCCTTATAGGATGAGGGTATAGATATAGGTATAGGCACGGGCATAGGATAAACATAGGATGATTATTGCCTATATAGGCACGTGTATAAGCATAGAAGTAGCTACTAGTTAAAAGCCCCAGCTATAGTTAGACTTGAAATCTAACTATAGCCAAATCTTCTCCGTACTCGTAACTTCCTATATACGCCGTGCTATAGCTATAGGTCGCCCTTTACAATATCGTAACTGCTTTCGAGGCTTCTAGAGTCTAACAAAGGTAGCTTAACTAAAAAACAAGGGGGATAACGAAAGGCTAGCGGTTATATCCTAAGAATAATATAAGCTATACTAGTACTAATAAGTACTAACAGCTAGAAACTAACAATAATTATATATATACTAGGATTTATAGGTAGTAGAAGCTACAGTTTAGACGAATTAGTATAGAAAGTTTGAAATAATAGGGGCTATATTAGTAAAGTTACCTAGATCAAAATAATTAAAACTAGTATATAGCGGGTAGGTCCTTTTTAGTATAGATACCTAGAATTTTATAACTGCTAGTTTTAGTCTAAAAGACATAGAGATACCGATCGATATTATACTATAGCGTTACTAGTAGGCTGGTTTTTTATATAGGACAGATGCTACTACTAGTACTATACCTATTCTCTAGTCTTTAGCTATAGCAGTAGGGCGTTATTATCCCCTACTGTTAATAGAATAAAGGTATAGTCTTTAAAAAGTAGGTTTAGGTATTCTTTTTAAGTTAGCTATATACTAGCGCTAGTACGTATCTTATAATGCCCTAAGGCCTATATACTGTTCTATCGAATACGTTATATATATTGAATTATATAAACGTATAGAAGTAGTAGTACTCTAGTTTAATACTACCCTATTTTGATTTTTTTATATATATATATATATATATATATATATACTACCGTATAGGCCTATATACCGACTAACTAATATTAAACTATATCTTAATCTCTAGCGTAGCCTAGTATCGGGTCTCGTATTACTCGGGAGATAATACGCTACTTACCCGCTTTCCGGCTAATAGTACTATTCTATCGGGTATAGTCTACGGATCTACTAGTAACCCGCTTTTTTAGTTTAGTATACTAAGGTCGGCGAGGTATGTTTCTAACTAGTATCGAATTGCTCTAATACTATGCTATACTTTTAACGTAGCAAGCTAGATATATAGCTAATCGTATAGATATAGGTGCTTTAGCTAGGTATTACCTACCCGCTCGCCTATACTAAATAGGACAGTATAGGCTATAACCTAGAGATAATCGGCTTTCTATACTAGTAGGCCGGGAAGGGTAATAGTACTTATATCTACTACTTTAAAGTCGGTAGCAATCGCACTACTACTAGTGCCTATTTCGATTTTATAGGTTAGTTTAATAATAAGGATTTGCTACTCGATCGTATATATCTAGAAGACTAGTTTGTATACCTGCTATACGATCTAATTCTAGCTAATACTAAGGTCGCCGACTATATTATATTTCCGAATTGTAGTATATTAGACTTCTGACTAGGACGCTAGTAAGGCTCGTGCTATTACTATAGTCCGCGGCATAGACGAGTAGTATATCGATAGTATCTAGAGAAGTATGTTTTACTATAACTAAAATATTTAGCTACCGCTAACTAGGCAACCCTAAGTAGTACTATAAACGTTTACTATAGTCGGCCTAAGATAGTATTATATACTATCGTAGGTTAGCGTACTAGCATTGCTATACCCTATAGTAGGTCGGGTTAGTTTGGTTTAGTTTACTAAGCCGAAATTCTAGGTTAGTTTAAGTTAGTTTGCTAAGCAACTATACGAGTAGCAGGTTAGAACTATAGAATTAGTCGGTTTCTAACAAGTATAGGAATATATACGTAACTTAAAGCAAGCCCTTTTTAAGACTAGTACTAATAGAATTTTCGAAGACTTTTATTTCGGACGTCTAATAAGGCATAATATACTATATATATACTTAGAGAGTATTTATCGCGCGCTATATAGCGCCGTATAATAGCGGCATATTTTGTATATAGAAACGCTTATAGAGGATACTAAGAATATCTATCCTACTAGAATATCTATCCTACCTACTACTATCTCGAATTTAGATATTCTAACCCTTAAGAATCTAATCTAGGGCTTTAAAATCCTTACCTATAGTCGTAACGCGATTTACGTAGATAGCTATAAGGACAATAGCTAAAATAGTATTAGTATAGTTCCAAAAGAGGTAGTAAAATTTAGTAGGAAATTCTACCTAGATATCTTCCGCAGTTACTACTTTAATAGTAATAATACTACTATATATAGTCTAACTATCTAGTATAAAGACCCGGCTAGAGGTACTAGCTATAGTAATCTTATAAGTAACCTAACTCTATTACTAGGAAATATAATAAATATCTATACTACGGTAGGCTATACTAAATAAGTTAGCTATTTAGTAGGAATAGGCCTACTACCGTCTCTATATACCGGCTCCGAGTGCCGACTATGCCTCTAGATTTAACTCCCCCCTATCTCGAAGGCTAAGGTACCGAGTAGAACCCCTATACCTTATATCTACTCGGTTATCGCGGAGCGCTTATAAGTAAGATATTAAAAAAGTATATAAAATATACGAGAAGAGCATCCTAGGATATAGGTCGTTAGTAAATAATAGTAGTACGCCTAGTTATTTATATAGTACGTTACTCTAAACGACTATAAGCCTATATTATCTCGTACTTCGCTTATAAGACTATATTATATACGACCGGGTAAGTATAGTAGGGAGGTAGAGGTAGTATCTTAGGACGAGGCTTCTATATATCTTAGAATCTCTTATACGGGCTATACGTTCTTCTTCGTTAGACTCGTAGGTAGAGTCGTCGCTAGACTCTACTAACTTATACTATCGATCTCCTCCCTAGTTATCCTAGCTATACGAGTAGCGGTAAGCGATAATACCTAGATCGTATAACGATCTCTCTTCTTCTTTAGTTATATATACTTCTACTTCTTAGTATAGTTAAACTACGAATACTATTAAGGCAAGCCGGGATATAGAAAGAAACTAGTCTAAATATAGCTCGTCTCCGTAATAATCGAGTAAACATAAGGCGCTAGGTTTCTACTTCGTACCTTATATCTAGGTATAACGCGGGAATAAAACTAGGAGTATAGCCGGTATATATAGCTAGTAAAAGGATGCGAAAATGTGCCTCGTCCTAGGTTAATATAACGACTAAATACAAATCCTAATTAATCCGCTATAAACCGACGCCGAATCTTAGCTAGAAGCTATATATTTTTATATTAAAGAGCAACCCGCTTCGTATAGATAGTAAGGAGGTTAGAAAGCTTAAACTCGGTTATAAGAAATATCTAGGGTTGCGTTAGTCTACTTTACCCCTCGCCTACGTTCGGGGATTTAAACTATACGTAAAGTCGCACTTTCTTAGTAGGCTATACGTAAAAGTCGACGATAGCACTATTATAGAGTAAATATAATAGGAAACTAAATATAAGTACGATAAGAGATAAGAAACAGTAGATTTCCGCTATATTAGTAACTAGTAAATTGCGACTAAGGACCTTAATCCGGCCTCTTAGCAAAACTCTAGTCTACTATATAATCGATTACTTTATATATCGGCCTATATATCTATTATATAATCTACTACCCTCTCCGCCCTCTCTACCTTAGTTAACCGCTTAGTACGTACCCTCTTTATATTTTCGCCCTTTTTACGCCCTATACCGAGTTTTCTATACTCTTTGTATACTAGAAAGAAAGAATACGAAGAATACGCGCCTTAGAATAAGGTAGACTAGCTTGCTAAGGATTATATAAGAAAACGGCGGTAGTAAAGTCTATAGCTATAATATACTCGGATAAGGCTATATATATAATATTTAGACTCGCGGTTCCTTACTATACCTACCTAGATATCCGAATAGGACTAGAATATACGATTATATCGAGGTTTACGTATAGCCTACTAAGAAAGTGCGATTCTATATATAGTTGAAATCCCCGCGACTACGGGATAAAGTATAACTAACGAAACCCCGGATACCTTCGTAGCTTTCGAGAGATTACTAATCGCTATAGCCGTAAATTATATACTAGACTTAAAATCTAATATAATTACTTAGACGAGTCGCTAGAAGGGAGTTATAGAGATTAAAAGCTCGGTCTACCTTTTATCTTAGAATAGCCGGATCTCGCGAAGGGTAATAGTATCCGGTTTAAGGCGCCGCTTCTTTATCGTCTAAACCTACCTTTTACCCTTTTTTATAGAAGAATAGCTTTTCTTCGTAATAGTCTTCGTCTGTCTACCTTTTTAGCTACTCTATCCTTCTTATATCTACCTAAAGTATTCTTATTTCGAGTACTGTTTTCCGAGTAACCCCTTCCCTTATATATACTATATATAGTATTCCTCTTCCGATATTTCGTTCTCGCTACGGTCTTCCTATACTTAGCTTACTTTACTCGTACTCTATTCTAAGTTCTAAAGGTATCTTTATATACGTTCGGGCGACGAAGGTATATCGCTAAGACCTAGAAAAATTAATAAGCCTATAATTGTAAAGAGATATTTATACTTCTTATACAATAGACTAAATAGTCTTCTATTAAACCGTCCTAGTCGGTTATCGTTAGATTCGTAATTAGGATAGTCCGTATCCTTACTAGGAAGTATTATAGAATATCTCTTTACGATTATAGGCTTATTAATTTTCTAGGTTCTAGCGATATACCTTCGTCGTCTAAGCGCATATAAAGATACCTTTAGAGCCTAAAGGGCAAGGTTAAAGCAAGCTAAGTATAGGGAGACCGTAGCGAGAACGAGATATCGGAAGAGTAAGACTCTCCGTAGTATATATAAGGGAAGGGGGTTCCTCGGAAAACAGTACTAAAAAACAAGAAGGCCTTAGATAGATAAGAGAAGGCTAAAAGGAGTAGGTATACGAAGACTATCGTAAAGAAAAGTTATTCTTCTATTAAAAAAAAGGGTATAAGGTAGGACTCGACAATAAAGAAGTAGTACTTTAAACTAGGTACTATTACCCTTCGCTAGATCCGGCTATTCTAAGACAAAAGAGGGACCGAGTTTTTAATCCCTAAGACTCTCTTCTAGCGACTCGTCCGAGAAATTATATTAGATTTTTAGTCTAGTATACGATTTACGGCTAAGGCGATTAATGCTCTTTAGGAAGCTACGGAGGCATTTCTTATAACCGAATTTAAGCTTTATAACCTCCTTGCTATTTATACGAAGCGGGGTACTCTTTAAGATAAAGATATATAGCTTCTAGCTAAAATTCGGCGTCGGTTTATAGCGGATTAGTTAGACTTTGTATTTAGTCGTTAGATTAACCTAGGAGGAGGCCTATTTTCGCATCCTTTTACTAGCTATATATACCGGCTATACTCCTAGTTTTATTCCCGCGTTATACCTAGATATAAGGTACGAAGTAGAAACCTAGCGCCCTATATTTACTCGGCTATTATAGAGACGAGCTATATTTAAATTGGTTTCTTCGTATATCGCGACCGAGTAGATAGTTAGCGAAAGGGCGATAGAACGTTTATAATACGTCTCTATTTAGACCTAAAATATAAAGGTCCTAAGGAGCCCTAATATACTAACTATAGAGAGATTCTTTAGTATTAGCACTTTAATCCTCTATACTACGAGGCAGATAGTAAGCCTACGAGAGAGAAATTTTAATAAGAGATTCTCTATAATACGTAGCGCTATTATATAGCGACAGATACGTACTAAGTCCGGCAACTCGAAGAAGAATTAAGATAGCGACTAAGGAAGATTTAAGAGATCGATAGTATACTAGTAGAGTCGAGGTCTTATAAGCGAAGTACGAGATAATATAGGCTCTAGGTCGTATAGAGTAACGTACTATATAAATAACTAGGCGTGCGACTCTTATTTACTTACGACCTATATCCTAGGATACTCTTCTTATACTTTTTATACTCTTTTCTAATACCTTACCTATAAGCGCTCCGCGATAACCGATTAAATATAAGCTATAGGGTTTCCGCTCGGTACCTTAGCCTCCGAGATAGGGCGGAGTTAAATTTAGAGCGATAGCCGGCACTCGTAGCCGGTATATAGAGATAGTAGTAGGCCTTTTCCTACTAAATAACTAGCTTGTTTAGTATAGCCTACCTAACATTTCTTATATTTCCTAGTAATAGGCCTAGGTTATTTATAAGATTACTATAGCTAGTAAGGGAATTACTAAAGAATATCTATACTATAGTAGGATACTATTATTACGCCGAGTATTTATTAAAAGGAGGCTTTTGCCTATTACTATACCGGCTATATCTACCGGCTATATTTCAAAGTTTGCCGTACCTGCCTTTTTTAGCCGTATCTAACTTCTTTTCTTGCTCTAACGTTACTATAATATAGGCTTGCGCGACGCTTACTCTATTACCTAGCGATACCGCGATACTACCTCTCTCGCTATATTTAACCTTCGTATCGATACCTATATCTCTACGCTCTGTATCTACTACCTCCGTACTAATATCCTCGCTCCGCGCGCGCCTTCGTATACCTTCGTAACGTACTTTCTTTATTAATTCGACGACTTTTATAATACCGAGTCTACTTAACTAAGTTATAACGACTCGTACGAAGGGACCTACTACTTCTACGGGTTATAATAAGACCGGAAGTAGTAGAACGAGTATAGTATATTAACGCAAGAAGGCTACTACTACTACCGCCAGCTCTAGCACTAGAAAGAGCGTCGCGAGTAAGGCTCCGCGTAAGACGACGGCAGATAAGGCTCTAGGCAAGACGACGACTAGCGCTTCTACTACTAGTAGCAATAATCGTACGAAGCGTCGATAGCGCCTAGGAAGTAAGTCCTATCTATAGCCGGTAGCGTAGCCGGTAGCGTAGCCGGCATTCTTACTATTCTTTTACTAATCCTTCTTTAGCCGTAGCCCTTCGTTAGATTCGGATATATTAGAAGGATACTAAACTCCTAATCCGTAAAGCTCCTTTCTAACGACTTATTCGTAAAATTGCCTAGTATATTATACAGGACCTTCGCTTCTAAGCCTCTACAACAGATACCCTTTAAGAGGCTTTAGAAGCCTACCTTATTTGTATCTACGAATATATATTTCTCTGCTACCTCTTTTCGAACTATACTAATACTATTTTAGCTATTGTCCTTATAGCTATCTACGCGAAGCGTATTACGATTATAGATAAGATTTTAAAGCCCTCAATCAGATTCTAAAAGGCTAGAATGTCTATATTCGAAATAGTACTACTAGGTAGGATAGATATTATAGTAGGAAGAATGTTCTTAGTGTTATCTATAAGCGTTTTCTATATACGAAATAAGCCGCTATTATACGGCGCTATATACCGCGCTCTAAATACTCCCTAAGTATATATATATATAGTATAGTATACTTTATTAGCCGTACGGAATAGAAGTCTTTAAAAATCCCGTTAGTACTAAGGAGTAAAAACGCCGGCTACGCTACCGGCTACGCTAATAGCTACGCTACTAGGTCTTTTAAAGAACTAGAAGAAGATAGATATTTTAGTTAATTTGTATTAGTTTATATTTTTATAAAAAGAAAATAGGGAAAAAGAAGGAAGGTTAAAGAGCCTAATACTTATAGTTATAGGCATTATCCCTGTTTTCTAGACTATATTATATACCTGCCTTCGCAACTCTACCTAATACTTACTCTAAATATCCTTATACTCTACCTACTAGAAATTTAACTAGATACCTAGACCTATAGCTGCCTCTATATCTTTTACTATCTTCTATAGGTTAAAGGACTCCTCTATAGCAGCCTCTATATCCTTATATAATACGAAGTTACTACCTACCCTACCCTTTATATCTACTAAATAACTAAGAGTTCTAAGGAACGAACTAGTATTCGGCCTTAGTATAGCGAGTAACTAGTAGAACGTAGTATAGAGCTATTTTATAGCTCTTTTATATACTATACCGATACCGAGGGAAGAGCTATCCTATTACTTAATATTAGAGAATAGTTTAGTAGGAAAGTGTTAGAACTTCTTAAAGAGGGCTTCTAGGGAAATCGATAAGTTCTACCTAGATATAGATAATAATATTCTACCGAGTAGTTAGGGAATCAAATAGCGAGCGAAAGGATGAAATTTATACCTAATAAGTGTAGTTTCTAAACTAAACTATAATAGCTTGTATATATATATGCTCTTAATTAGTTAGTGCCCTTAGCTAATTATCTATAGATTTAGGGTTATATAAGTACCTTCCTATAACTAAAAAATGCCGGCTACGCTGCCGGCTATACTCTCGTGTCTTATAAAGGGCTTGCTTCGAGTTACGTATACATTCTTATACTTCTTAGAAACCGATAAATTCTATAGTTCGAACTAGCTACTCCTATAGTTGCTTAGCAAACTAACCTAAACTAAACTAGATCTTTAGCTTAGCAAACTATACTAAACTAAACTAACCCAAACTACTACGGGGTCTAGTCTCGACTCGTACGAGTTCTATACCACTTTAGGTACCGCTACCTAGCTTCCCTATTTTTTATAGTATCCCGTTATACTTCTTAGTAGATATAATATATAGTTTTCGTCCCCGTTGTAATTATACCGTAGTTAACTAAAGCTAAGGCGAATAACGCCGTAGGCTTAGAGCTAGTACTACTATATTAAAAGGGCATATAAGGCTATAGTTATTATTAAGTATATTATCTCTACGAATACAAAACTAAAGAGCTTACTTACGAGTCGGGTAGAATCGAGTATAACAACGCTTACTAACGATAATAATAGTTATCTTCGGCTACTTCTCCTTACTACCGTAGAGCTTCGTAAAGGCCTTTTCGAAAGACGGTAGTTCTATCTATAGGACTAGTTTATACTAGCCTTCCGAGACGCTATTCCGGTAAATAATAACTTTGTTTAGTAGAGAGCTATTCTTCTTATACTACAAATTTAGACGCTTAATTACCGTTTCTTCGAGCCTATTAGCTATTTCTTAGCGGCTATCCTATATATAGATCGAGCCTAGCTATTAGAGTACATACTTATTAACGCTAGTAATAAGCGTAGCTATTAATAGCGTACCTTCGAGGAGCCTAGCGACGGGTAGGTAATATTAATACTAAATAGTAGTATTATCTCGTTATCAAGCAGTTTACTACTAAAGGCATTTAGTATATAGTACGCTACGCTACTACCCTTTACGTTAAACTTAAGTACTAGATTACTAATATATATGCCCTATCTAATAGGCTTCTAAAGCTTCGATCCTAGAGAGCAGATAGTATATATACTAAATTTAATATTACTAAATTATTTAATACGAGCGTATAACTACTTATCGGCTTCCGGAATAAATACAAAGAGGAACCTAATACCTATACTCTCCTAGGCCGCTATCGCGAAGATATTAGTATTATATTACGTAGCGAGCGGTTACTAAAGTCGCGATTCTATATAGTAGTAAGGGTCTCTAGTAAGATTTCCTACGTAGGCTTAATACGCTAGCCTATACTAATACTGTATAACTTTATATACTTTTTAACTCTATTAATCAAGTTTTAAGATTACCTAGGTCCCTATATAGCGTATTGCCTCGATTGCCTTTACGGTTAATAATTAGAAACGACTACCTATTAGATTTTCTAGGTCTAGTAAACTTAACGCCCTATAAGTTCTAGGAGCCCTTCTACGGCGTAATAGGTTTCGAATTCGAACTATAGCTTACGTAAAGAGTATCTAGGATATAGTCGGATACTATAATTATACTAGGACCTACCGAGAAGCTAAATAGCCTTATAGAAGTTAACTAAGGATTACTATTAGGATTAGTAAGACGGAAGAGTTATATACTATTCCTAAGTCTAGTACCGGGAGTTCTAGTAACGGATATAGCGTTAAGATTTAAAAATCTAGCTACGAATTTAAGTATCTTAGAAGTCTAGTTGCTACTAAGTAGGCGTCGATAAGGCTAGCTAGGACGGACTGTATATAACTTTATAGGCAGATATTAGTAATTAGCGCACGTACCGACGTTAAGTACTAGACGATCTAGGTACCTACTAGTAAGGGCAATTCCGTAGTACTAACGGAAGTAATTATTAACCGTAATCTATCGTAGTATAGTATTTATAGGGTCGATAAAGCAGAATATAACCTAGTTAGTATTACTTAAACGCTAGACCTAATTCTTGTCGGCGACCTTCGTAAAGCCGATAACAGTCCTAATCTTAACTCTAATTAGCTCTTACTAGCTATCTTTTATATCGGCGGTATCGACCTTTAATATATAAAAGAAAGCTTTAAGCTAGTTAAGATTACTAGTACGCGCGTTAGCCTAAAGCTAAAGTAGAAGTCTAGGTTAGTAAAAGGCACTAGCGGTAACGTTTAAATTAACTAGTAGACGCCGGTTAACTACTAGGCGAATAGAGGAGTAGTAGCCTCGTAGTACTTATAGCCTCCGCCTAAATCGGAAAGCTCCTTCCTAGATAGCTATAGTATAGATAGAATTTGTTTTAGCCTACGTTATAAACGGTATTAGTCTCGTCTAGCGCCCTAGTTTAGACGATGTTTATAAGTAGTAGTATAATTTAGAGTATTAGGTAGTTTAAATATTTCTTTAAATATTCTCCTATTCTTTTCTAATATTATACTAAAACTATCGTCTAGGCCCGTCGTAGTACTATAAGCTTAATAAGAGAGTAAATTAGGCTATAAAATTAAAACAATTCTAAGACATCCTATTAAGTAGTCTTCTATTACTAAAATTTACCCTTATCTTCCTAACGGGTAGATAAAGTATTATTTGTTTATATATATTAGTAGATACTAAGATAATATTAACAGAAACTACTATACCGTTACTACTAGACAACTTAGTCCTAAATAAAATTAATATATAGTTCGAAGACGTACCTCGAATCTAGCGCGAATCTAACGCCGCTTTCTATCTAGAAAGTAAAACACGTTTAATTAAATTTCTCGGCGGTCTCTTAATATAACCTAATAAAAAGTATATCGTTAGAACCGCGCAATCTTATTCTATCTAATATAAAACTTTCGTATAAATCGAGAACGTATCTCGAATCTAAGACGAATCTAACGCTGCCTTTCTAATCGGAAAGCGGTATACGTTATTTAGATATCTAGGCGGTCTCTAGATATATTTTAGTTAAAAGTACCTAGTTCGAACCGCGTAATAAGGTTCTATATTCTAACTAGCTCGATACTATCGTACTACGAGCGGATATTATACTACTTGTAATTAATATTAGCTACGTTAAATACTACGAAAGGGTCTAAGGGAGGTACTTAGGTTATTGCCTCGCCCCTCCTAGTACCTAGACATATATAGCAAACCGGGCCTATAGTCTCTAAAAATAGGGGACGTTAGGCTATTCCCTATACCCTAGGAACTCGCTTAGCTAAACTTAATTTTTCGGATTTTATATATTATAAGTTAAAACCGTCGGTATTATATATAATTATTATTAATATATTGTCTTCTAGACGCGGTAAGGTATAATAGTACCCGCTAAATTCGGATTTACGTATTTCGAGGTATAGTTGTTGCTTATTATTATAGTATCGTAGTATTATCGTTAGTCTTACTAGTATACGTTAGAATTCTCGGTTAGTCCTGTAGAGTATCTATACTAATAGTTGCCTATATAGCGATAGCACAATAAGGAACCTAGATATATTCTAAATTACCTTACTCCCTATACTTTATACTGTGAGAATTCGAATAGTATTAATAAAGGCCTACTATAGGCGGAAGAGAGGGTTCTAAGAGGGGATTCTTCCCCCTAGTATAGCGCTAGGACTTGTTACTAGAATACAGACACCCTTATTAACCTAGTATAATATACTATTCCTATATTATTCTAATAGAGGTGCTATTATAGTGCGCTATATACTATAGTATAAATTATAAGTAGACTCTTCTAACTACTAAGTATAGCTATATATACTACGATAGGTTATACTACCTATAGAACCTTATACTATTATAGCTAATAGTAGTAGTAGTAGTAGTAGGAGTATTAGCCTCCGCTTAGTACTACCTACTAGAAATCTAATTTACTAGTAACATTTAATTTGCTATATAGGCCTCTAACCGTATACTAATTATATAGGTTAACCTACTATTTGTCGAGATATAGTTAATACTATAAGGAGCTATAACTAGCTAGCAATAGTTAATACCTAAATAGTAACTACTCGCCTATCGGATTAAGTATATACGTTATATTCGCGTTAGACTTTGCGATACTCGTTAAATATTATTATAAATCTAAGCGTTTATAGAGGCAAAATATGTAGCTAGAACTAGGCAATAGTTCAGATTAATATACTATTAGTCGAGGTATAGCTCAATTTAATTTACTATATAGTATTATATTTAGTCTAGTAGCTATTAATATACTAGGTATCTATCTTAGATCTTAGGTAGATAAAATATTTAGAAGGTTATAATTGTAACTCTTAAGCCTATAGGTAGCCTATATAGACTAGAATAGTCCTTAGGTTGCCTTGTATTCTCCTATATAGAAACCCTTTTTCTTCGGGCCTAGAGGCTAGTAGATAAAGCTTAGGTCCCTTCGTATTAGAATACTAGTTATACTCCTAGTGCTTATTTAATAGGTTTTAAGTTACTATCTATAAGATACTACTAGTATTCCTATAAAGTCGTCTAGTAATATGCTAGCTCTACGTTCTTTAGTACTCCTAATAGTATAAGGTTTTATTCTATTTTTATAATAGACTATTACTAGTATATATTAGTAGGATAACGAGTCGAAGGCTAATTACAAGTATACGAAGATATACCTAGTATATTAGTTTAAGTATTATATATAACGAGATTATAGTAGAGTACTCTATTAGGGTCGAATAAGATATACTAAGTGTATGCGCAGACACATAGCTATACGTTTGCGCATATCGGATCGGGAGACCGGCAATCCCGGATACGAAGATTCTATTATGCTAGGATTATATATTACGCTAAGTAAGGATATGATATCTTTGCGCTTTTCTATACGCTCGAACCCTCTTCTTCTTTCTCTACTATAAACTACTCGTACGTATTAGACCTAGAGCCCTCTATATATACCTATACGCATTCCTAATCCGCTTAGTACTAGAATCAATTCTAGTGTTTATATATACATCCGCACAAAGCTATACGCATAGTAGTCGACTATGCCGTAGGACATTAAGGGCTGCGTATTCCCGAGCTCGCTCGTTAACGGTAGCGTAAGTACATTCCTATAGCTATACGTCGCTATATACTAATACGCAAACAGAGCAGCTACCGCAAGTATAAAAAGCGTCTACTTAGTAGCGAGCTAGTCCCTCTACTAATTCTAGATATCGTCGTAAGCATTCTTCTGCCCTTACCTATCTACATACTTATATATATAGATATGCCTAAAGAAGAAAGTGCCCGCTATTCGCCTTTTTATAGGTGAGGTCGTTTGTCGTATGCCGGCTAGTGCTAAAAACTAGAGTCGATTTATCGACGCTACGGAGGATAACGGGTATAGTTATACTATTGCGTATATCTATATGTAGTACTAATCTCTATAGTAATAAGAGTTTAGAGGATATATACGACGAGGAGGGCATGTATTATATATAACCTAGCCTTCGCGTATACCTATATATTCTGCTAATACTTGCGTAGATAATATGCCGCGATATAAGGACACTCGCGACGTATATTTAGTACGGGGTATATATTGTCCCCGAATAGATCTGCTTATACTTATGCCTTTATAGTATAGCGGCGTCGTCGAAGAGGGACGTAAGGAAGATAGCAAGCGGGATACCGGCGGTCGCTATACCCCGGAAGACAAGTTAAAGCACTATATAGGTATAGCTATGCCTATACATTTGCCTATTAATTCCTATTAACGAGCCTTAGAATTCTACGACCGCCTCTAGGAGATATACGAGGACGAAGCGCGAGAGTATACGTAAGTCTACGATTATAGATACACGCATTCTAACACCTATCTAGCAAGGGTCCCTCTAAGGCGACCTCGAAGAAGGCCGATATAGGTAGCGACGAGACTAGCGACGAGGGCAGCGACGAGACTAGCGACGAGGCTAGCGACGCGGCTAGCGACTAGACTAAGAACGAGGCTAAGAGCGAGGCTAAGAACGAGGCCAAAAGTAAGGCTAAGAACGAGGCTAAAAACAAGGCTAAGAACGAGGCGAAAAGTAAGGCTACCGATATAGCTACCGACAAGCCCTCTACTAAAGGTCCTAAGACCCCGACCGTAGTTATTAAGTCGTCTACGAAGGACGAGGACGAGGACGAGGAAATAGATTCTAGGTCTAAGCAAGGGTATATGCTTAGATATAGTTATAGAGACTTGTCGCCGCTAATATACGTAGCAAATTCGAGCTTGTACTTGCCTCGAAGTCTAGTAGGGTAAGCATAAGGCTAGCCTTATCTATACTTATACTAATGCGCGTAGGTCAATAGGACGCTTATAAACAACGACTTTAAAAGGCGCTTCCCTAATATAGCCGTACCCTATAATACTTGTAAGGCCGCTAGTGCGAAGACGAGTATACCTATCTATCCGTTTTAGTCTGTTAGTATACTAACGGATGTATAGACTGCAAATAGGGTAACTATACCTGCGAGAATATAAAGGCATACGTACTCTAATCTATAGCTACACCTACGCGTATAGATAAGAGTACTATAGGGCTCGCACCGGGGAGAGGGATTCGTTAGGGAATTAGATAGCTATACGTATACAACCGGTTATAGCTATAGCTCGCGCGTTGATTTAGCTTTGCGCTAGCTAATGTTTAGCTTAGCGGCGGTAAGAGTATATAGATTAACATCCTATAGCGTTTAGTATGCAGTGATTTATATACAAATCTATACGCCGACCTATACGTATAGTAAAGTTCACACTACTGCTTATAGCACAGCTCGTATATAGAGGTATAGCTAACGTTATACCATTTTCCGCAACTTCTTTAATCGCTAAGACGTACTTTAGCTAGCGTCGACCGAGCTAGCGGCGGGTAGCGGGAGTTTTATATATACGGCTATCGCTATACTTATACGTTTAGCTATAGCTCTGTTTACTCGATACCCTCTCGAACGACGCGATAGCAGGTAGCTAAGATGTATTAGCATAACTATAGACATATCTACGCCTATAACTCTGCTTACCTAGCAGACGGCTATTACTAGGGCGCTAGCCCCTTTACCGAACGAACAGAAGAAGCGCTATATGTTTAGCTAATATCTCGCGTATATCTACGCATAAATGATGCTCTAGATCTGCGTATCTTTGCTATTTCTTTAATATACAAAGTATATAGTTTAAGTTGTATTCCTATATAGTAGAATACCCTATGCTATTTTTTATTAATTCCTATTTATATATATTAATAATACTCTATAGTATTATAATTTGCGTTGTTACTATCTCTCTCTCTCTCTAAATTTTCTCGTTATATATATATTAATAGAAATATAATCTCTACTACTATTATTCTAGTTACTGCCCCTCTCCTAGCATACAAATGTCTTTAGGTATACGCAAAGGCAACACTGTAGCTATGCATCCGTTCCTCCGTTTTGGTAATAAAGGCTTAGTATTATTTAATATTAGTATAAGACTATTACGCTAGTGTAATATAAAGTAAATAGTTTAACTTGTTTACCTATATAGTAGAAGACCCTATATATATATAGCTAAAAAGATCTTTTTATGTTTTTTTAGATTTATACTTATTAATAATACTCTATACTATTACAATTTGCGTTGTTACTATATCTCTCTCCCTCTAAATTTTCTCGTTATATATATTAATAGAAATATAATCTCTACTACTATTATTCTAGTTACTGCCCCTCTCCTAGCATACGAATGTCTTTAGGTATACGTAGAGGCAACACTGTAGCTATGCATCCGTTCCTCCGTTTTAGTAATAAAGGCTTAGTATTATTTAATATTAGTATAAGACTATTACGCTAGTGTAATATAAAGTAAATAGTTTAACTTGTTTACCTATATAGTAGAAGACCCTATATATACATAGCTAAAAAGATCTTTTTATTTTTCTTTAGATTTATACTTATTAATAATACTCTATACTATTACAATTTGCGTTGTTACTATATCTCTCTCCCTCTAAATTTTCTCGTTATATATATTAATAGAAATATAATCTCTACTACTATTATTCTAGTTACTGCCCCTCTCTTAGTATACAGATGCCTTCGGGTATGCGCAAAGGCAACGCTGTAGCTATGCATCCGTTCCTCCGTTTTAGTAATATAATTATTATAGTTAAAGCTTAGTTTTGTCCTACTTTATTATCCCTTTACGCATACCTATACACTAGCGATTAGGCACTCCCTATTCTATGCGAGACACCACATAGGTATACACATATCTCCTACTATAGATATACGCCCCTTCTCCCGTTTTAGTAATAAAGGCTTAGTATTATTTAATATTAGTATAAGATTATTACGCTAGTGTAATATAAAGTAAATAGTTTAACTTGTTTACCTATACAGCAGAAGACCCTATATATATATAGCTAAAAAGATCTTTTTATTTTTCTTTAGATTTATACTTATTAATAATACTCTATACTATTACAATTTGCGTTGTTACTATATCTCTCTCCCTCTAAATTTTCTCGTTATATATATTAATAGAAATATAATCTCTACTACTATTATTCTAGTTACTGCCCCTCTCTTAGCATACAGATGCCTTCGGGTATGCGCAAAGGCAACGCTGTAGCTATGCATCCGTTCCTCCGTTTTAGTAATATAATTATTATAGTTAAAGCTTAGTTTTGTCCTACTTTATTATCCCTTTACGTATACCTATACACTAGCGATTAGGCACTCCCTATTCTATGCGAGACACTATATAGGTATGTACATATCTCCTACTATAGATATGCGCCCCTTCTCCCGTTTTAGTAATAAAGGCTTAGTATTATTTAATATTAGTATAAGATTATTACGCTAGTGTAATATAAAGTAAATAGTTTAACTTGTTTACCTATACAGCAGAAGACCCTATATATACATAGCTAAAAAGATCTTTTTATTTTTCTTTAGATTTATACTTATTAATAATACTCTATACTATTATAATTTGCGTTATTACTATATCTCTCTCCCTCTAAATTTTCTCGTTATATATATTAATAGAAATATAATCTCTACTACTATTATTCTAGTTACTGCCCCTCTCTTAGCATACAGATGCCTTCGGGTATGCGCAAAGGCAACGCTATAGCTATGCATCCGTTCCTCCGTTTTAGTAATATAATTATTATAGTTAAAGCTTAGTTTTGTCCTACTTTATTATCCCTTTACGCATACCTATGCACTAGCGATTAGGCACTCCCTATTCTATGCGAGACACAACATAGGTATGCACATATCTCACGCTATAGATATGCGCCCCTTCTTCCGTTTTAGTAATAAAGGCTTAGTATTATTTTATATTAGTATAAGATTATTACGCTAGTGTAATATAAAGTAAATAGTTTAACTTGTTTGCCTATATAGTAGAAGACCCTATATATATATAGCTAAAAAGATCTTTTTATTTTTTTAGATTTATACTTATTAATAATACTCTATAGCTATTATATTTTATGTTATTACAATATCGCTCTCTCTCTAAATTTTCTCGTTATATATATATTAATAGAGATATTATCTCTAATATAATTATTATAGTTAAAGCTTAGTTTTATCCTACTTTATTATCCCTTTACGTATTATTCTATATAAGACACTACATAGGTATGCACATATCTCACGCTGTAGATATGCGTCTGTTCTTCTGTTTTGGTAGTAGGGGCTTAGTATTATTTTGTGTTAGTGTAAGATTATTACGCTAGTGTAATATAAAGTAAATAGTTTAACTTGTTTACCTATATAGTAGAAGACCCTATATATATATAGCTAAAAAGATCTTTTTATTTTTTTAGATCTATACTTATTAATAATACTCTATAGCTATTATATTTTATGTTATTATAATATCGCTCTCTCTCTAAATTTTCTCGTTATATATATATTAATAGAAATATTATCTCTAATATAACTATTATAGTTAAAGCTTAGTTTTATCCGACTTTATTATCCTATTACGTATTATTCTATATAAGACACTACATAGGTATGCACATATCTCACGCTATAGAATGCGTCTGTTCTTCCGTTTTAGTAATAAAGGCTTAGTATTATTTTATATTAGTATAAGATTATTACGCTAGTGTAATATAAAGTAAATAGTTTAACTTGTTTACCTATATAGTAGAAGACCCTATATATATATAGCTAAAAAGATCTTTTTATTTTTTTAGATCTATACTTATTAATAATACTCTATAGCTATTATATTTTATGTTATTATAATATCGCTCTCTCTCTAAATTTTCTCGTTATATATATATTAATAGAAATATTATCTCTAATATAACTATTATAGTTAAAGCTTAGTTTTATCCGACTTTATTATCCTATTACGTATTATTCTATATAAGACACTACATAGGTATGCACATATCTCACGCTATAGATATGCGTCTGTTCTTCCGTTTTGGTAATAAAGGCTTAGTACTCGTTATATATATATTAATAGAAATATTATCTCTAATATAACTATTATAGTTAAAGCTTAGTTTTATCCGACTTTATTATCCTATTACGTATTGTTCTGTATAAGACACTACATAGGTATGCACATATCTCACGCTATAGATATGCGTCCGTTCTTCCGTTTTAGTAATAAAGGCTTAGTATTATTTTATATTAGTATAAGATTATTACGCTAGTGTAATATAAAGTAAATAGTTTAACTTGTTTGCCTATATAGTAGAAGACCCTATATATATATAGCTAAAAAGATCTTTTTATTTTTTTAGATCTATACTTATTAATAATACTCTATAGCTATTACATTTTACGTTATTACGATATCGCTCTCTCTCTAAATTTTCTCGTTATATATATTAATACAAATATTACTTATCTCTACTACTATTATTCTAGTTACTACCTCTATTCTGTATACGGCTGCGTATAGGTATGCGCATACCTTACGCTTTAGGCATGCGCCTGCATTTCCTTTTAGTAATAAAGGCTTAATATTATTTCAATATTAGGGTAATTTTAGCCTAGTTTATCTACCCTTTGAACATACCTATGCGCTTACGATGAGGCTCTCCCTCGAGTTATGCCTATATATATATGCTCGACTATGTCTATATACGTAATGTATGCCAAAAAGATGTTAATACAACCTATATATATAGCTATCTCCGACCCTCTCTTAACTAGCGAGCTATCTCGTCGTATACCCGTAGCTACGCCCGTAGATACTCCGCCTGTAAACTAGCGATCTCTGCTAGTATTAGCGGATATATTGAGGTAGGTTGTATAACCGGAGGCATTAAGGAAGGCATTGTCGCGGCTATTAGTATAGCTATTAGGGGCTGCATTGGCTGTTCTATCGGTAGCTGCATTAGCTGTCCTATCGGTAGCTGCATTAGCTGTCCTATTAGGGGCTATATTAGCTGTCCTATCGGTAGCTACATTAGCTGTCCTATCGGTAGCTATATTAGCTGTCCTATCGGTAGCTGCATTAGCTATCCTATCGGTAGCTGTATTAGCTGTCCTATCGGTAGCTGCATTAGCTATCCTATTAGTAGCTGTATTAGCGGCATTGTTAGTAGCTATATTAGCTATCCAATTATCGGCTAGTTATAGCTAGGGACAATTCGGGTTTAATCTTAAAGTTGAATCCCGTCTCGAGACATATCTATAGGCGTACCTATAGGCGTTCTAATACGGCTAGGTCCTAATGTAGCGGTATTAGTAACTAATCTCTAGTTTCCCCTTTCTCTAGGCGTAGGAACGCGTAAAGGTAGAGGTATACTTTCCGTACTCGCTCGCTTTCGTCGCCGGCTAGTAACCTCTAGTTTAGGATCCCGGATAGGGATTATATATAGGCGAATCCCGGGTAGTAGGCTTGGGCGTTGTAACGGTCGTAGGGCGGGCGTAGGGCTTGGACTTCCGGTTAGGCGTTGTAACGGTCGTAGATATAGCGGTAGGCTAGGCTCGATATCCCGTAATTGTGAACGTGTTTCCTATTCTAGGAGGGTCCTCCGGGTAGGAATTGTTCTAACCTAAGCTCTAGCGGCGCGATGCGCATTATTAACCCTAGTAGTACGCTTATCCTTACTATTACTCCTATACTTATAGAGATTGCTAGAGGCCTACTCTTAGTACGCTAGCCTTATAGCCTTTTCCTGTTTATATCTAGTCTTCTTTACAACTACGGCTATTAGTACGGGCATAAATCTACTAATAGGTAGCTCTTACCTTGCTTCTATAGTGCCCTCTCGTATCTAGACTAGATAGAGACATTTACTAATATATGCTTTACGCGGTAGTCGGTTTAACCCTAGAACTAATCGATATCGCGTATATCTATAGTCGCAGCTCTAGAAATACCTATTATTAAAGGTAGGTCGGTTCCGAATGAGTATGACTTATATCCCGTCTGTTCGTTAGCATTTGTATCCGCCCGTCTGCTTCTATATATATCCTTGTTTATAAGCGTATACTCGGGGTTGAGCGTAGCTGCAATAATATCGTTTTTCTTGTTCGTCGCCTAGTTACGGAGATCTTTGTTCCGGGACCCTATATATATTAGCGAATGTCTATAGCTATATATATAGACGTACGTTAGAGGATGCCGATAATCGTATAGTACTCCTATCTACTCGGAGCGTCGATAAGGGATAGTATATCTTCTCGCTCTTTTATAGTAACCCTACTACGCTATTTGCTTATAACCTTGTCTACGTTCCTAATGAAGTGTATACGATAGAGCATAAGTACATGCTGTAGGTAATACTCCGCCGTATAGAGGGGGTCGATTTCGTATAGGTAGAGACTAAGGCCTATAGGTTAGCATAGGTACGGGCATAGGCTAGGGCATAGATACTAGCATATTGGCACCCGAGCTAATCGACTACGATATAGTGCTACCCGTCCGTATCCCCGTAAATATGTGCCTACCTATATCTGCCTACACCTACGACAGCCGCTAAGGTCGTAAATAGGCGCTTCTATACGAGATAATATATCCGATTAGTATTCTTCTCGTTATAGATAACCCGAGCTAAGGTGAAGACTATCTTATTAGCAGGTATATAGCTATAGGTTAGCCTATATATACGCTTTCTATTCTAACCTAACTTAACCGCAAAGATAACCTCGTTTATATTAGATCCTGCGATACGTTTATAGGATATATCGACGTCGAATAACTAGAGAGACGTAAAGATCTCTACTTGTTCCCTATAAAAGCATACCACTATCTATATGCCTATAGGGGAGATATATACGTCTTAGATATATTGCTACTAAATTAGCGTATGTTAGCATCTATAGCTATAGATAAGGATATATAGTCTTCGGGTTGAGTTTCTACTGTTTGTATGCCTATTCTACTACGTTAATATCGCGAAAGTAACTATACTCCGTATACTTAAGCTTTACTATTATCGCGGTTAAGCGCGAAGTATTGTTTAAAGCAACATAGAGCTTAGTAAGTAATAGTACCCCTTTTTCATTAAGGAACTGCTACAATATCGGATAGACCTAGAATCGGGCTAAGGACTACGTAAGCGGAAGTCTATAGGTATAGCTATATACATACCCGTTATTAGGTCCGGCGAAATGCACTTCTTAATTAATTCCTTTAGCTCTTCCTCGATAAGAGTAGGGACTTTCGTCGGAGGGGGTAGTATATACGTATATTTGCCCCGAGATACGATTATTATATAGGGCGTCCTTATAGGATCGCGCGGGACGATAAAATCGAACTTAACCTTATACTCTTGCGTAACGAGCTTGCCCTACCCTTATAGGTAATCGACTTCTACGCGGTGTTAGCTAATCTATGCCTATAGGTCTAGACGTACCTACGGCATGTCGTATAAACTACCTTTGTCGGCTTAACAACCGTATAAACGTTAGTCGGACCTGCTAGTAGATTTTAGAAGAAGTCCTTAAGTATATCGATTAACTATTTCCCTTCTTTTAGAATAACTTAGCGGAAGCATAATAGTCGTAGGTATGTATAGTAGTTGGTACATACGAGTAAGTACTAGTAATAACTAGCTAGCGTCTATATAGTTAGCTATAGATATGCCTATATATATAACTAATTACTTATAGGCGTCTCTGCCTCCTCGTACGTTAAACTACAATCTTCGCGTTAATCGTCGCAGGCTTTTCTCGACCGGAATCTTGCTTGTGCTATATACTAAAGCCTATATCCGTAGGTTAGTACTCGGTAAACTATCTAACTACGGATATATATACGTATGTGAGTTCTCTACCCGGTATTGCGTCTCTTCTCCTCTTAGTACGAATATCCTTACGAGCGGAGGTATAGAATTAACCCTCTAGTTTAGGTACTCGTCTGTAAGGCGATAGTACGTAGCGCCCTCCCGGAGATATAAGCAAGTATATTAACATATCTTAACACCGCTACAATTCTTCTGTACCCGAACATAGGATACGCTATTAAAGTACGACGCTTTAGTTTCCTTCGGGGAATAGGGCTGCCTTGCCCTATATTGCATCTAATATATATTAGCATATATATAACAATATATACGCCTATATATACTCTATATTTAAGAACGGCCGGAATCTTTATAACGTTCTCTAGGATAAGATCGGTATAGTTATAGTAATCCGCAAGTAGAACGATATATATATAGCTATAGTTATAACTACTTAGGTATTCTAGTATCGTAGTAATATATTCGATATACTTAACAGAAAGCGGGGCATATATAGCATTTATAATAAGGGTAGGCCCGGGTCGAGGAAGTAGCTAAGTCTTATTAGAAAGTATAGGCATACTATTAGCTATAGCTAAGCCTACAATGTTGCTTTCTAGCTACTTGTCTTCTATAGCCTCTAAAGCGATGCGATCTTCTTCCGTAAGCATTCCTAACGTAAAGACATTAGAGGCCTATATCTCGGTAAGCTAAAGGGTATATATATCTATATACCTATATATACGCGCTCGTTAATAGACTCGGTATACGAGATAAGCTTATTAGAATATTTATATTTATAATCTTCCTATATATAGGGAAGAAAGGTTAATAGAGTCTCTATAGCTTTAGTCGGTGCTTTAGATAGTAGTTTTATTCGGTGCTCGTAATCTGTATAGTCTAAGAAGCGGGCATTCGTATAGTAGAAGGAAAGGGAAGGGAAAGAATTAGTCGATTAGTGGGAAAGTAGATGCGTAGGCGCTAATTTGCGGCTAACTATATATACGGTTATGCATAGACTCGGCTATACGGACGTTGGTCAACTCCGCTTTTAGCGTGGTCAACCGCAGATTTCTCTGAGCTTCGCTTTTGACGTTTTGCAAACCTTGGCGGAGTTTATTCTAGTTCTACCGAGCTTGACCGATGATCGACAGGAGCGTTGTCCTTGTTTGGAATTTGGACATGGCTCACCTGCAGCCTCCTTCAGCCGCACTTTTCACGTTGCTGTGCTGCGCATGGCGACACCGAAGGATGCGGAAGCCTGGATGTAGGATTTAGTGGTAGGCCGTGACACCATCTTCTTCCTCTGCGACACTTCACATTGTCTTTCCCAGTCTTCTTTTTTGAAAGCGTTAGCGTGCTTGTTGGGCAGTATCGTTTTCTCGGCAGGGGCGCATCATGCTCGCTGCGATTCTCTCGCTAACATGTCTTGCTGGAATGCGTCTAGTGCGAGCTGATCGTAAGTGGCAGGCAGAGAGTGGTATGACAGTGTGCTGACATCTTCCAGCATCTTCTGCAGTGGGCGACTATGTTGCTGCTGGGCTTGCTCTGTCTTCCACGGCATCGGCAGCGGCATCGGTAACGGGAACGGCATCGGCATCGGCATCGGCATCGGCATCGGCATCGGCATCGGCATCGGCATCGACACCGGCAGCCGGGACGCAGCCTGTAGCGACGGGTCTGGTAACGGTAGACGGGACGGTGTTCACAGCAACAAAGCTTGAGAATGGTGACATTCTGGTTGCAAATGCCACCGTACATCCGTCGCCAGCCAGGACCGGCACTGCGGCATCGATTGGCACCTCAGATCCGACAGATTGCTACGCATCATGGCAGCAGTATTGGACAGCGGGTCGCGCTTCTCTGCTGTCCAACTACAGCTACACGCCGTCGTCGACACCCGTCACCACCTTGACCTCGACCGACGAAGAAACGTTCAGCGCGCGGCCACTGACCACGTCCACAGACATCACCACCATCGACACAGAGATTCCCATCGTGAATGGCGGCTTCACAATCTCCACTCAGACGATCCTGTCGACCTCTAGCTATGTCTATACCCAGTCATCTGAACCTGCTAGCACAAGCACATGGACCTGGACCTACACCTCCTATGCTACTCTTGCGCCAAACGCGACGGTCAGTGTGCCGCCGAAGCCCACGTGTACGCTCCCATCTGTCGTGCCGGACTGCCAGTCTTCTTGGGAAAACTGGATCACCACACAACTCATTCCGTCGCCAACACCTCCGCCACATTGCGATATTGGTGCCGGCTTCCTCAATAACCAGAACACAGTGCCAGCATGCGCGACCTCGTTCTCTTCACTGGTCACCGCATATTCTGAGTCGATTGGCACCTATGCCCAAAGCGAGCCCGCGTGTACAGTGGCTTCCATCAGCGGATCCTTGTGCCAGTCCGTGCGCGACAACTACCAAATGGATGAGAACTACATCTTCAAGCCCTCAAATGATGCCTTCTTCTTTAATCAAGGCACACTCGGAAACTATAATGGCATACGCACATCTTGGTACTGGCCTACGTCTTCCACCCTCGGATCTGCACTTGGCTGTACGCTTGGATGCGGACGATGCGCTGTCACTGGCGGCACAGTGGAGCTCATCTACTGGCCTGAAGCAACACCTACCCCGGCTGCCCGCAATGGAAGCTCACCAGGTCGTGCTACACCGCAAGCAACTGCACCAGTCACTGTGGAGACACTGGGAACGACTTTTACCTCTCCCACGCTGTACATCTCTTATCACAGCTTGTACGCCGACAATGCTTGTGGCACCATTGGCACTGTCATCAGCAACACCATTCTGGCAATCCCCACTGATCAGCCGCTCTCAAGTGTCTATGCTGGGACCATGCCCTGCGATGCACACTTCCGCCCTACGCAGGTATGGACCGGGACTGCTCCATTCACCGTGCAGGACCTACCCTCTCCAGCTTACAGCATCTATTCTTCACAGCCTTGGTGCCAGACCTATGTCCGAAACAATGGTTGCGGAAATGTCACGTGCCCTACTACTGCTGCTTACAAGCCAATTCTCGTTGTACCTACTCCGCTCCTGCAGAGCATGCAGCCAGCCTGGTCGAACTGCTGGGGAGACATTCGTGGAGTCTATGATCCACCTATTGCTCTTACACAAGTCACATCGGCGAAAGGCCCAACTGTGCCCTATGGTCCAACACAGACCGGCGACTCTTCGAAGCCAACATCAGACCCAGCGACGCCGGCTTCTGGTCCAGCTCCAACGACACCTACGCCTACTGCAATTCCTGACAACCTTCCGACGAGCACCGGCGATGACGGACCCACAATACCCCATGTCTCTTCTGATGAGCCACAGTCCACTGTAAACATTGGCGGCCAGCTGACGTCTGTGCTGGGTGGTTACTCTGACCCGACTCAGCCTGCGCCAGATTCTGATCCAAATACAGTAGCTACAGTCGGATTCCAGACTCTTACTGTCTCTCAGCTTTCAGGAAGCAGCGGCGCTGTCGTCGTAGCGCAAGGCGGCGACACCCAGACCCTAAACGCAGGAGACAATCCCATCACACTTGGAAATCAAGCCGCTAGTATCGCATCTAACGGAGCTCTAATAATCGGCACCGGTAACTCAGCAACCACCATCGACCCATCCCAGCAAACTTCGACTCCAGGCGTCGAGATCGCTCAAATCGGGCCAGAAACATACACCTTCTCAAACCTACCAGGCACAAGCGGCGTCGTAATCATCAACGCCGACAAAACCACAACTCTCATAGCAGGAGCCTCCGCCATAACCCTCGCATCTCAAATCTTCAGCATCGCGTCCTCTGGCCGAGTCGTTCTCGGAACCGGAATTTCTGCTACCACCCTCGGCGTAACGCGTTCGGAATCCACATCCTCCTCGTCGACTACGAGTGAAATTACATCTCCTAGTACTACTACCTCTACAACGACGACAGAAATTTCCAACATGAATACAGGCGGCGCAGCAGCAGCAGCAGCAGCAGCTTCTCGAGCTTGGGGAGCTTGTTTCGTTGCATTGAGTTTTGGGGTATTTTTTGCTTTATGAAGATGACATGAACGGCATAGATAGAGAAATGATAATAACGAATGGCATACAGATACACGAACTATGAATGACTAACGCCATTTCTTGAGATTTCCAAGAATTTTTTGAGGATTTTTTGAATTCGTGTATCAGAGGTGAGGTTGGTTGCTTGCCTTAATTTCGCATATCATCATCGCCGTGATATCCGTCATCGGGATCGTCGTAAGAGCCGCTGGTGCCGCCTTGTGTTGGTGCTATGTTCAACTTTGGAGCGGTCAAGTTTTGGATGCAGGTCATGGTGATTGATTGATTGATTGATTGATTGATTGAAGAGTGTTGTGCTTACGTGGATGTTGATGGAAAGTGTGCAGGATCTAAGGTCGCGAGAGAAGTTTCGTGCTTTGAGTACTGTTTCTGTGATATATTCACTATATTCTGAAAGAGTTTGAGGCGATGTGATGACGTTTTTGAGGCGAGGATTGCTGGAGAAAATGTATGGTTGGGTGTGTGGGTGCTTCGTTCTATGCTGAGCTGAGGTAGTAGGATACCTTACCTATATAGAGGAATGAATTGCATGCTAATGGTCTGGGTCATCTAGCGATGCAAACAGCTGCTTTAACGATACGTAATGCGCGATCGAGCAGGACATGTTTGTGTCGCCATCCATAACGGTACAAACATAAAATTCCGCCCCCCCCCCACCTCCTCGTAAAGAAAACCTACAACCCAACAGCCCTCGCCAAACCCCCCGTAATGTTATTCAACTGCTCCTCCCCACCTACTAGCACCTCAAACACATCCTTATAACTATCTACAAACACCTTCCTCCCCTCCGGAACCCTTTGCGGGCTCACATTAAAAAGCTCGAAAACCATCTGTCCCAAACTAGGAATCGTGATGGCCTTAGCACGCGGTCTCCAACCAAGATCATACGGCAATTTTTCCTTCTCAAATAAACTACGCACCCAATCTACTCGTGTAACACCCGTCGCATCATCACCGCCCATAGTCTGCAGATAAATCGCTGTCTCGCCGTATCGGAAAATGAACTCCCTAAATCCGTACGTGAAAGTTGGGTTGATGTTCATCGAATCTGCGGTTCGGTTTGCGATGGCTTGGGCAGCTGGGAGGAGGGCAGTTTGCCCGTTTTGGAAAAATGACACGACTTGTTGCCAGTACTTGTTGTAGAAGGAGTAGTCGTTGCCGAAGTATGCGTCTTGGCGAGAGAGCGAGGCGTCGTGCTCGATGGGGAAGTTGTGTTGGTCGAGGTCGTTGAGGTCGAAAGCTCCGGTTAGGATGGGAGCGGAGAGGAGGCCGGCTCCGCCGATTAGGACTGTGAAGTCGGCGCCCATGTTCATGCCTGCTGCGAGGCCTTGCAGGAGATGGGGGAGGGTCATGTTGCGGCCGTCGTGGTGGATGAAGTTGTGGTTGGCCTGAGAAATTTCTTCGGTCAGGATATGGGTATGGTGCTGCGGGAATTTGTTGGTGTTAGACTTACCAGAGCGTTCAGACCGGGACATGGTGAACGGACATCGTTGGGTCCTGGTGCCACCCAGTTGGTGAAACGGGGATCTCCTTCTGGTGCTGGTCCCAGACTGGCGAGCAGGGCGGGAATGTCAGTAATTGCGGGCAGCGACTGTGCTAATACAGCGGCGGCCAACAGTGGCAACGCTTTCACGACTTGAACCATCCTGGGCAGCCCGATTTGTGTGGTAGAAGTACGAAGAAGTACTCGAGGATGTCAGCCATACTTGTAAACATCCAAATCCCTCGCCCTAGGCCTAAAAGCCACTCCATCATGCTTGTCTAGTAGCTTGAATAAGAAGACACATTCAAGTTAGTCTCCTCGGTAGACGGCACGCTTAGAATTATAATCGACTTGATTGGTCTTTGAGGATCGATCGAGCACATCACCTTCCTTCTTGAGCGGGATTAGCGTTTAAGCTTGTTTTGAGATCTTATGCTAAGAAACACTGATCATGCCTCGGCGGCCGTCTGAGCTGTCGATCGCTGCCGGCCCATTGTCCGGAAATCTGGGCTGGTGAGAACTAAGACGTTCTACGTTTCGACTTCTGTGCCTGCATGGCTTCATTTTGAGGTTTAGTGATGCTTAACTGAGATCTTGTTGATTGCATTATCACGACATACTTCAAGGTTTCATGCTTAAATGTCCTCTACCGATATTGAAGAAGTAATCTCGTCACGCCGAAAGTATGGCGGGTTGAAAACCTTAGGCCTTCCTCTCCTCAGCCTCGATTCCTTCTCTATCGAAGCACTTATCAGCTCTGCAGCTGCCTCCTGCATCGTGACAAGATCCGCAAATATATTTGCTCGGCTGCTGTGCTGTTTCCCGTAAAACGCTGTGCCTATTGTTCGTTTTCTGCATTCACATGTCGTTCATTCCACCGCGATAGTGGAGCCACATCGACAAATCATACTGTGATCATGATCACAGCGAGCGTGAAGGGAGCCGCAGATTCCCAGAAGACCTATTGATTTTGATTCATATTGCGAAAATCAACTGTGTTCCTATACCGAAGACTCTAGAAATGAAGGAGAGCAGGAGGAAGATTATGGTGATGACAGCGAAGACTACTACGGTGTTTCGTGCCAATCTTAGACTCCGGAGATTTGGGATTGACCTCTGTTAGGCGTCAATTGGAATGTCTCGTGCTTGGCTACTTTTACCTCAGTCTAGAGACTGTCCAACGAGTTATTGAGCTCCTGAATGCCGTCGTTCTGAGTAGTAATTAGTCGCCGGGAAACTTTGTGCTTCGATTCCCTCTTCAGGCGGAAACATATCGCCATACACCCACCTTGCAATCTCTGCCAGACGCACTGCCTCCGAGCTCCCATGACCAGTTTTCCCGTGCTCGTGGACCGGCACTCGAGATCGGGCCGTGCATCTTCTTCCTCTGACTGTGTGTCTTGGACAGTGGCGTGACGGTGTTCCTGTTCTTTCTTGGCATTGCTTCTTTCTAGAACGCTGCAGCCGCAGTTCTTCTCTTGGAGTCCTCAGATAGTTCGGGGTAGTGCTGTAGGACGCACTACATCCTGCCTCATCGCACGCTCCTTCCGACTTCTTCTGCTATCGTGGGCGAACCGTGGCCGACCATCACCTGTTGTTGGAGCATTGTCCTCACCCATGAAGGCCATGAGTAGATACGATCCTGCTGGCGCCCATACTAGCTTGCGTACTGGTAGCCTTGTCGCTAATGCTGTCGATAATACCTCGCCCGGCAGTACTGAGCAGGTCTAGTTTGAGTTTGCCCGCGCTCGATGGGACATGAAGGATTGTGAGTTGACTTGGGAAGTTGGGAACTTCTCGAAGACGGTTCATATCCTCGAATGCTTGGCGATTGCGCTAGCCTTTTACAGCGGGATGGAGACCCCACGTGACCATCAGAAGGGCACGTCCCTTCTCCTTATCTTCTGCTTACAACCCGACTTTTTCTCGGCTGTTGTAGGGCTGTAAATGCGCAATGCTTCCAGGTGCGAACATACGCGCCAAGCTCGCGATAGGCGAAGGATCGCCAATGCTTTATAGTGACGGCCGACCGCGGCCGAGACGGTCGCACATCTCGATGGTAGGCAGGCCATTCAGCTAAGTGCAACTTTTCACGTCCAAGCAACAACTCAGACGCCCATGCTACCATCATGCTCGTCCTTCTGCTGGCTGTGTGCGCGGCTGCGACCCAGCCCGTGGTCAAAGTCCTGAATGGCAGCTACAGTGGCGTCCATTTACCTCAGTTCCAGCAAGACATCTTTCTCGGGATACCCTATGCTCAAGACACTGGAGGCCATAACCGCTTCAGGATCCCCCAGGCGCTGAATGAGACCTGGCAAGATGTACGGCCGGCCACGAATTACAGCCATGCTTGTCCAGACATATCTGCCGCAGACACAGTTTATGGCATGAGCGAGGACTGCCTGAGTATCAATATCGTACGTCCAGCTGGTCTCAAGCCGAGCACGAAATTGCCAGTCTTGTTATGGATCCATGGCGGCTCCTATCAGGTCGGCAGCAGCGGCCTTTCCAACTACAACCTGACGTACATCGTGGAGAGGTCAATCGATACCGGCAAACCCATCGTAGCTGCTTCGATCAATTACCGCAAAGGTGGCTGGGGCAATATGTACAGTATCGAAATTCAAGGCTCTGGAAACGCCAACCTGGCTATTCGAGACATGCGCCAAGGACTGGCGTGGATCTCGGAGAACATCGGCGCTTTCGGGGGAGACAAAGATTGCGTGACCATCTGGGGTGAGAGTGCAGGTAGTTTCGCAGTCGGTCAGCTTCTCATGAGCTACGGGGGCAGAACTGACGGGCTATTCCATCGCTCCATCCAGGAGTCAGGATCAGCAGCAACTGCGTGGTACAATGGCAGTGATTGGTATCAGCCCATTTATAAGAGTGTAGTTGATGGTGTCAACTGTACGGATGCGGTTGACACTCTGGCATGTCTGCGTACCGTGTCCTATGAAGCCATCTTTCCGTTCCTGAACGGCTCCACCATTCCAGGCCCCGGCTGGTATCCCACAGTCGATGGAGACATCATCCCAGACTTCCCGACAGTCCAGCTAGAGAAGGGCCAATTTGCGCATGTCCCGCATTTATACGGCACAAATTCCGACGAAGGCACAGACAACGCACCCGTCGGCATAATCAACACAGACGCAGACCTCAAACACTACCTCCTCACTCAAGTCGGCTTCGGATACCCAGAATCTACAGTCGACCACATCATGTCCCTCTACCCCGACGATCCAACCCAAGGCGTCCCAATCAACACCGGGACCGAACGCTTCGCCTCCCGAGGCTGGCAATACAAACGCGTCGCAGCAATCGTCGGGGACATTTTCTACCACGCTCCCAGACGCACCGATGCCCAGAATTACGCCAAATACTCCCCAACCTACATCTACCGCTTCAATACCCGACCTTGGGAAAACAACACCAACGCCACCTACACAGACTACACCGGAAGTCTAGCTCCCGCATACAAAGGCGTACAACATTTCAGCGAAGTGGCTTTCGTCTTTCACAACCCTACGACTGTGGGTCCTTGGCCTGAGTATCGGGCTTTGAGCGATCAGGTGAGTGAGCAGTGGATCAATTTCGTGTATTCTGGGAATCCGAATGGGGAGGGAGTGCCGGAGTGGCCGAAGTACAGTGACGGTGAGAAAGGGCTGAATCTTGTTTTGCAGACGAAGGACCAGGGAGGGAGTTGTGCGGAGAATGATACGTATCGATTGGATGGGAGGGAGTTTTTGAGTTTGTGGGCGAGGAGGAGACATGTTTGAGGGGAGAATGTAGTGTAGGTTAGAATGAAATCGAAGCATACCCATAGGCATCCCAGTATCTATGTGATGTGTACATAGTCTCTATTCCTGCTCGGTATCGATCGTAGAAGACTAAATAATTTATAGCATTTTAGAATATTTTTCTAACTCTAGTCGCCCCTACTATCTATTCTCGGCTCCGGCCGACCTTCGCTTTCTCGAGCCCTACGCTTTACTATAGAATACTAAGATCTTATAACTTCGGCGGTCCTTTTCCTTATACTACGAGAGTATAGTAATACTAGGCCTAGGTGTGTTTATAATTACTCTTATAATCCTATATTATTAGGATAAAGCTAATATAAGTATTTTAGTACGTTTCTAAGGCGATATATATAAACTAAAATAATCGAAAGGTAGTAAAGGCTGTACTCGGTACTAAGACTTTTATCGCAAAACTACCGTAATAACGACGATATCTAGAATATAGCGTATAGGCGATTATACTAAATAAATAGGTTAGTATAGTTAGGTATATAGGTATATAGGTCTAGTCGCGTAGTAGTCCGATATAGAATAGTTAGAAGGTAGAAGGTAGAAGGTAGTAGTAGGTAGTATTAGTACTAACGCCTGTTAGTAGTTAGTTACTAGTAAATCTACGTCGGTTTAGTAAAATAGGCCTATTTAGTTAGTTACTAGTAGCTTTAACTAGATAAGCCTCTTTATACTATCGTATACCTATTTATTAAAATAGCGTAATTTAGTTAGATTCTAGGTATTATTTAGTTACAGAAGGCATTGTTTAGTTATAATAGGTATTATTTAGTTAAATATAAGTCCGTATAATATAGAAACCGGATTTCTAAGCCGCTTACTAAGCTTAAAGGCTGAATTCTTAGTTAGCTTTATATCGTATAGTAATACTTCTATAATATAATATTATTATACTAAGGGAGGCAAAGAGGAGGTAGAGGTAATAGTAGTAAGGTTAGGAGAATAGGGTACTTATATAGAGAAAATAGGACTATTTCTATATATAATATTAGTCTAATCTTCCCTTCTAAACTAAGCAATCCTCTACGAGATATACTGTCGCGTACGGCCTATAGAAGCCTCTATTTAATAGTTGTTATCCCCCTTTAAATTTAGATATTACTCCCTATTATATATATACGCTAAGGGAACTATTTAATAGTATTTCTTACTAAATTTCTAGTAAATTCTTACTAGGAGATAGAGCGGAGCCTAGTCCGCACACGATAGCAAGCGCATTATAGTATACTAAGGATGCTAAGTAGATAGAAGGCGGATTTAGCAAAAGAGGGCTATTATAGTGCAATACTGTATACGCCGGCTCTTAGTCAAATACCAAATGAATTACTAATTAAATAGGCGCTGTTTGGTAAAAAGCGTACCTTAACTAAACGTCTTTAACATTAGAAAGAGCCTACTACCTGCTATACTAAAAACCTCCTTACGCCTAAATAGCAAGGGGCTAAAACGGAGATAGCTACTAGCCTCTAGGCGGTATATATATACTGTATATATAAGACACCCTATATCTATCCTATAATCTCTTCTTTGCTCTCCTTACGCGGCTTTCTATTTGCTCGCCGAATCTTACTAGGTTTCTCGGGTTACGTAAGAATACTAAGTATAGTAGAGCCTTAGCACCTCCCTATATATTTTACTAGGTAGAATGCTCCTCTTATGCTTCTATAGACCTTATATCGAATCCTTATACCGCCTAAAGATGATTGTTATATAGCTGCCGCCCGAGCTAGTAGGTATAGTGTTTCTTTACGGCGCTAGTTACCTCTTAAAGTAGTATTTCAAGATGCCGCGAGGTTAGTTAAATACCGAAGACGCATAGTAGCGTACGAGTCGATCGAGGAAGCTAGTCGATAAGGAGTTGCCGGCGTATAAGGATACTATAGATAGGCGCGAGTCGCCGCCTAAGAAGGGCTCGAGAGTAAAGAAGGGCGCGAAGAAGGAAACGGCGGCGTAGGCGCTTCGAGAGTTAATAGACTCGCCCGTAAACGATAGCAATACTTACCGGCGCTTCGTATAGTAGTAGAAGGATAATAAGGACGCCTCGACGGCCGTAGAAGTTAATATAACTAGACAAGTTAATAAAGGCGAGTTAACGCGAATAGGCGAGACTTTACCTAGAAAGAAGCAGTTAGTAGCGCTACGGCTACGGCAACGTAAAATTAATAGTGTTTAGATAAATAACTTAAAATAAGGACGATATAGAGACCGAGTCTAGCGATAAGCGTAACGTCTTCTAATACAAGCAAACCTAGCGCCTCTTTACTAGCAAAACCCTCGTCTTATCGTTTAACGAAGATCGTACTAGCTAGTCTACTCGCTTCGGTAATAATGCTTATCGCTAGGCCGTTAACGAGGCGTAGAAGAAGGGGATGTTTGTTAGTAACCGCTTTGTCGTTGCTACTACGAAGACAGTAACGAAGAAGTACGAGTTTAGAGAGAATTTCAACTTAGGTAGGTAACTGCTTATATAATAAGACGATTAGCTAATATCTCTCGTAGCGGATACGTACGAGAAGGGCCTTAAAGCCGCATTTAAGTATAGAAACGACCCGAAGAATATTAGCTCTGTCCGTATAGATATAGAGTTCTTTACTACTACTAAAGACTTACCTCCTATTGCTCCGCCGAAGTCTAAGTTAAAGCTAAACGACTAGTAACTTATCGAGAGTAACGCTTTTATTACTAAGAAGCGTACGACTAGAGGTAATAGAACAGCTAAGATTAAAGCTAACAATATATGCCTTATAGTAGGCTGTCCTAATATTAACAAATAGTACTATCTTCCGCCTTACTTGCCGGACACCTAGAGGTATTATCTATAGCTTAGCAACTACTCTTTTAAGCTCTAGAGCGAAGCCTATATCGCTAGCGAAGAAGGCGTTATATTAAAGAACCCTCCGTAGAAGGCTATCGATTAGATAAAGTTATTTACTAAGAACAAACGAGACAAGCCGAAGAAGGAGCCTACTTTACTATAGCTACCTAATCTATATACTCCTTATCGAGATCGAGGCGTACCTACTATACCTCCGGTTAATTACTTAAAGCTTCTCGAAATAGCATTTAGCCTTGCTACTAGCTTTGCTAATTAACAGTTATAGCTAGGTTTAGCAACTTCAGCTTTAGCTTCTTAGTCTTAGTAAGAGTTACCTATTCTAACTCGCGTTACTACTATACTTAGTACGCCGCTACGAAGTCTTCTACGACAGTTCTTTAAGTAGGTAGTAAAGCAACTAGAATAGTTAGAAGCGGAAGACAATAAGTAGCTTATAAAGATAGAAGATTACTTTATAAAGGAACGATATAACTATAATTAGATCTATACTCTATCGATAAAGGAATAGAAGGCGCTTAGCTTCTTTAAAGGCGACTATAGCTCTATAAGAGACAGCCTAAAGCGCTTTTAGAAGCAGAAATTGGCTAAGAGAAGCGGTTAGCTTATAAGGCGATTACGACATTTATAATAGAGAAACGGCTACTTTAATTAGGCGAGATTGAAGGATAGTTTGTTAGCAAATTAATAACTTAACGGCCTAATTTATCCTCCGTTAGATATACTATAATCGCTCTCGTTACTATCGAGATCTCCGCCGAGATTTCTGTAACTACCTAGCATATATAAAGCGGGACTATCCGCTTTACGCTTAGCAGCCTCTCTAACATTCTCGTACTACTATATTACAATAATATTATATAAAAATTGATATAGAGCTTTAGATATATATTCTTAAGGAGCTTATTAATTTTTGTAATATATTATAGACGTAGTATAGTGCTATACTAGCAGAGTGTCGAAGCCGAGTAATATATTATCTAGCTTAGCTCTACTAACGTTATAACCGCTATATTCGAAGAGTTTACGCATATCTATACTAGCAATACAGTCTAGTGCCTATATAAGAAAGTTAGTAAAGTTAGCGTATTCCTTCTATCGGTCCTTGTTCTTCTTTATCTACATTTTTAGTATATTAAAGGTCTATTCGATCGGATTAAGATCTAGTAAGTATAGCGGCAAATACTCGAGTCTATAGCTAGCTAAAGTAACAATATCTTCTACGTTGTCGCTATAGTAGATTGAGCAGTTATCTATAATAAAGATTATCTCTAACCCTTCGAGAAGAGGTAGAACCTCGTTCTCGAGCTAGTTATCGAATATAACTTGATCTACGGCTCCTTCGATATATAGAGTATAAGGCAGGTATCTATTAATTGTAAGAGCCGGTAGTACTAACAACCTCTTCTATCGCTAAGCAAACTAGAAGTCGTAGCAATCTATACCTACTAGAGACTATTATTAGCTAGTAACCGGCCCCACATACCTAGGCTAAGTTTTAAGCCTATACAAGAGGCCTCCTTCTATATTATAGATAGAGTACTAACCTCGTATAGCACATTGTTTATGTTACACTTCTACAATACCTATATTGTAGGGCTCTAGTTATTAGCCTAAGCAATCGTCTTATTATCCTATTATACTAAACACAGCTGCCTACACTGCTATAGGTTATATCACCCTCGGTAGCCTATACTATTACTACTAGTAGTAGTAGTAGTATTAGTTTCCGTCCTTTATTAGAGCCGAAGGTAGGGCTATCTCTTTATATCTAATAGGTTCGGGTATATTAAAGGTAGTCTCTAGGCACGAATAGCTATAACTAAAGCGAGGGCACGATAAGAGCCTACGATACGGACGATACCGAAGTATCTTAAGGGGCTATTACGATAAGTAGAGAAACCTCTTAACGAGGGTATCGCTTTGACCCCGAAAAGCTACAAACCCTTAGGACTATTATAGCTTAGGGCCTAGTCTACGACTATAGCTAGCTTCTAAGGACTCGGCTCTAGGTCGAAGACCTATCTAGTACCGCCTGCTCGAGATAAGCTACCGCCCGCCTAAGGAGAAGATAGATTAATTACCTATCGGCCTTGCTTAGTTTGCTAAGACTATCGATAGATAGCAATTTCTA